ATGGGCTAACTGGCCTGTTTTCATTCTCATCTATCACCCTTCACTGGTGCTCCACGGAGTTACCAATACATTTTCATCTAATAAAAAAAATCATACTACATCACCATGTGATGACCAAATACCTTAGATTAGCGATTCGCCCCGGCTTTGCTCGAGTAGATAGGTAGAAAGATAATTTTGATAAAATGTTTCTCGTTGATAACGCAGCTTTCTATAGATGAAAGAATTTTTAAAATCGTTCGAGTAGTTCTTGAGTTTGTCCATTGCAAACGAACAAACAAACAAACAAATATTTCCTCTATATAATATTAGTTTAGATTAAGATATAGAATTAGGATAAGTAGTGACTCGTTGGCTATTTGGAGAATGTATCGGAAGTAGGAAAGGTTACTCAGCGTGAATGTAGCTTTCTAATGGTGAAAGAACTTTTGAAATTGACAAAGTAGTTTTTGAGTTTATTCATTATAAACATACACATAAACATACACATACACACAAAAATACGAATCTTTCCTCTTTATAATATTAGTGTAGATGTAGATCATTATTATAATCGTATCAGACGTATAATAATAACAGATCAGAGGTTTATATTTAGCAATGAACAGTTTTTTTGATGGGTGAAAATGGTATGGTAACCCCGCCTGCGCTAACGGGATACGCTGACGGAGCACCAGTGAAGGGTGATAGATGAGAATGAAAACAGGCCAGTTAGCCCATCATGATGAACTCATCAGGTATTAACCATAATAGTTTCTAGGGGGAACCGCGAGGAGGTCGACCTGGTTGGGTGTATTGCTAGCAATGGGATTCTCCGTCTCCATTACTAACAATCCCTTTCCCCCCGATGGAGTATACGTATCACAACTTCTTTACATTTTTTTTAATGGGTGACAATGGTATGGTAACCCCGTCTGCGCTATCGGTATATACTGGCGGGGCACCAGTGATAGATGACTGATGAGGATGAAAACAGGTCAGTTAGCCCATCGTGACGTATTCAACTAGAATTAGCCACGATAGTTTCCAGGGGGAACCACGTGAAAGTCGACCTGACCTGATAGGGTATATTGCTAGTAATGGGGCTATTTGACCCCATTACTAACAATCCCTTTCCCCCTACTTCTTTACATTTCCGGGATGTTTTAAAAAGCGACTGAGGTCGTCCTTACAATAATTATTAACTAGCTTTATCCCGCGACTTTGTCCGTGAGACCGGGATATATTCACTGATCAGGATAAAAGTAGCCTGTACCCTTCTCTGTCTTTATATATATATATATATATATATATATATATATATATATATATATATATATATATATATATAGTGAGTGAGAAAGCATGTCGTTAGCGGGCAGCTGTTGTCTGATGTATACGGCACATCATCACTATCTTCATCATCATCCTCTTCATCATCTTCCTACCCTTATCCCAATTTATTTGTGGTCGGCGTAATATGTTTTTTATCCATGTTACAAAAAGATTTGGCTTATAGTTTTACAACCGGACGCCTGACGTCAACCCTCTTTGGGAATGCATTTGTTGGTGGTTTCCGCCAACTACAGTATGGAGAAAAGGATTGATTTTGTCCTCCCCCCCTCCCTTTCCTTTTCCACATAAGTCCCTTATTCTTCTTATTTACCAATTTCCTTTAAGCATTGTCAAGGTTCCCTTTCTTTTTTCCTTAACCCTTTCTTCCATAATGTGGGTGGCGGAAACCACCAACAAATGCATTGCCAAAGAGGGTTGACGTCAGGGAAGCGGCTGGTCGTAGAACTGTAAGCGAAATCTTTTTGTATACTCTGTTATGTCCATGGTACTGCTCATGTCTATAGGCGACGGTTACCGCTTTCCATCGGGTGGGCTGTCACCTTGTTTGCCATTCTGAGTTGTATAAAAAAAAATCTTTTTGTAATATAGATAAAAAAAAACATATTACGCCGACCCCATATTATAATTGGAATGAGGGTAGGAAAAAGAAGAATGTAAGTATAGCCTATAATGCTCGCTGATAATATAACTTCTATCGGTATAATAATATTTGAGTTTTTCATTACAATACAAACAAACAAACATACAAATCTTTCCACTTTACAATATTAGTATAGAATAACAAACATTCAAATCTCATTAACATATATTTACTCATACATTTATCAGTAGGATGACCTTTACTTTGTTAATCATCAGGGAATTCCCACAAATTAATTCAAGGAAAGTTTAAAGTGTCCTATTTAATTCCTAATGACATTATAAACGAGCCATTTTCAGGGGGAACCGCGTGGAAGTCGACCTGACTGTATTGCTAGCAATAGGTCAGTTAGACCCCATTACCATCAATCCCTTTCCCCCCTTATACTGTGAAATGAAATGAAATATTTATTTGCTTTAAACAGACATTTCACATTATAAGGGCCATGTGACAAAACTTTTTGGCATCTGTTTAATTGCCTTAAAATTGTAGGCATGCAAATCTAATTTATTCCTTAAATAAGGATACAAATTTAATGTGGTATTATGTTATAAACAACGGGCCACCCCTTCCTGTCTCGTGGGTGTCGTAAGAGACGACTAAGGGAGGGCGAGGGATGGGCAGCAGCGTCCCCCTTAAAACATCTCTAAAGCTTGACTGCGGTTGCCAACCCGCCTGACAAGCGCCTGGCAATTACTGGCAAAATCCTTATGGGGGAGGCTTATATCCAGCAGTGGGCAATTAACCGCTGGTATGATGATGAATATTATAAATACGAAAGATGGATGGATAACTGGATTACTGTTACACTTTCACTCAACCGGCGAGCGTGTATGAAAAGATTGATGAACGTGGAAGAAGCGAAAGATGTTTGTTTGAATCGAAGCATTTGGCGTTCCATTGTTTCTGCCTACCCTAATGGGAGACAGGCGTGATAGATTTGTATGTATATATGTATTTCACTCAAAAACTACTGAGTGGTTCGAAATGGTCGCGTACTGCGCGGTTTCAGAAATGTTTCCTCCCACGAACACTCAGGTTGTGGAATGAGCTCCCTGCCGAGGTTTTCCCAAGAGACTACAGCATGGGGTTCTTCAAAAGGGTAAGAATAAGTAGTGACTCCTTGGGTATTCGGAGAATGTATCGGAAGTAGGAAAGATTTCGAATTCTTGGTAACAACCGGGAACTGGGGGGAAAGGGATTGTTAGTAATGGAGACTGAGAATCCCATTGCTAGCAATATACCCAATCAGGTCGACCTCCTCGCGGTTCCCCCTGGAAACTATCATGGTTAATTCCTTGTGAATTCGTCATGGGCTAACTGGCCTGTTTTCATTGTCATCGATCACCCTTCCCTGGTACTCCATCAGCGTATCCCGTTAGCACAGGCGGGGATACCATTCCATTTTCACCCATCAAAAAAAAATCAGGGGCATTACGTTACCAATTACTCTATCTTTTAATTTCATTACATCAATTTTCGAAACAAAATAATTCCAACAGAACATGCAGGGGTAAACCATAACGTTCATAAAATGATACATTGAAATCGGTTGTTATGGAATTGGCGAAAACATCACGTAACTTATTTACACAAAGAAAAACTTTTTTAATCGATTGATAAAATAGCAATGTATATTATCAATCGATTAAAAAAGTTTTTCTTACATTATAAACTAGCCGTGTGGTCCCGGCATAGAATAAGCCACCCCTTCCTGTCTCGTGGATATCGTAACAGGCGACTGAGAGAAGGCGAGGGACGGGCAATAGCGTCCCTCTTAAAACATCTCTAAAGCCTGTCTGCGGTATAACGTTTATAAAATTATACATTGAAATCGGTTAGTATGGAATTGGCGAAAACATCACGTGACTTATATACCCAAAGAAAAACTTTTTTAATCGACTGATAAAATAGATTGAGAATCATATAAACTCACAATCTATTTTATCAATCGATAATATCGGGTATCTGTCACTTAAAAACCCCTGTTGTGCGGGGGAAAGGGATTGTTAGTAATGGAGACTGAGCATCCCATTGCCAGCAATATACCCAACCAGGTCGACCTCCTCGCGGTTCCCCCTGGAAACTATCATGGTTAATACCTGATGAATTCATCATGATGGGCTAACTGGCCTGTTTTCATTCTCATCTATCACCCTTCACTGGTGCTCCGTCAGCGTATCCCGTTAGCGTAGGCGGGGTTACCATACCATTTTCATCCATTAAAAAAAACCCTGTTGTGCAGTTAAAAATAATTTAATATTTACTAATAGCAACTTAGAAGGAACTAATAAACTTATTAAATATATAAATATTAAAAATATCGACAACAAGGGGGGAAGGGATTGTTAGTAAAGCAATTTAGCAGTCCCATTGTTTTTTAATGGGTGATAATGGTATGGTTACCCCGCCCGCGCTATCGTTATACACCGGCGGGGCACCAGTGAAGGATGATAGGTGAGGAAGAAGCAGATCACTTAGCCCATCGTGACGAATTCAACAAGAATTGTTTACGATGGTTTCTAGGGGGAACCACGTGGAGTTCGATCTAATAGGGCATATTGCTAGCAATGGGGCTGTTAAACTCCATTGCTAACAATCCCTTTCCCCTCGCAGTCCCATTGTTAGCAATATACCCTGTCAGGACCTCCACGTGGCCCCCCTGGAAACCATCGTACTGAATTCCATGTATATACATCACGGTGGGTTTTCTGATCTACCCATTCTTGCTCACCTATCATCCCCCTCACTGGTGCCCCGCCAGCGTATACCGTTAGTACAGGCGGGGTTACTATTCCATTATCACCCAATAAAAAAAAAAAAAAAGAAATACCCACAACATAATATTTTCAAAACATGAAAACAAAACGTAATCATCAGGACAGTCATATGACGTTTGCAATTGATACGCCAAATCATTATCGTTCCGATACAGCGAATCTATTGCACAAATGTAAAACGAAAAATTTAACTAAAAAAAAAAATATATTACGTTTATTTTAAAATATAACATACAAGTACTTACCTTTAGCACAAGCGGCCAACAACACTAAAATCCAAATGTTCCTCATTGTTTTACTATGTACATAGCATCACAAGACACGACTGCACCGTGCGGCGGATACGCGACAACTGAAACAACTATCCGAGACGGCCGTTTTCTATGCTCTTATCTGTTTAATAATAGAGTTCAAAATGGCTAGTTCTCAACATGTGGCCTGTGATAACATTATCATTGTTTGGTATCATATCATAAAGTAATCTATATAATGAATGCAAGATTTTGCTCCACAAATAAAAAGTGCCGTTTTCAGTCGGGGCAAAACCAGTTTTTTTTAAGAGATGGAATAATAATAGATGATGCAATAATAACCCCGCCTGCGCTATCCGTATACACTGGCGGGGCACCAGTTAGGGGTGATGAGTGAGGTCATCCTCACACAGACTCGGACAGGTCAGTTAGCCCATCGGTGATGAATAAATACACTTGTAATTCGGCACGATGGTTTCCAGGGGAGACCGCGTGGAGGTCGACCTGATAGGGTGTATTGCTAGCAATGGGGCCCATTATTAACAATCCCTCCCCCGCTCCCTGGAAAAATCTGTTGTTTTGGTACAGATTTGGATGAAATCTCTACGAGACCAATCTAGAAATATATCTTTTTAAATAAATAAATAAAAATAAAAAAGAATTAATGTACCGAATCGGTTTATAAATGACGGAGTAACATAAAAATCAGCCGAATGGAGAACTTTCTCTTTTTTTGAAGTCGGTTAAAATACTTTTAAAAAATTTTTTAGGTTATTTTCAAAAGAAGAAAGCAATTTGTCTTTTTTTTTGTTACTCGATTATATTGTTAATTTAACCGACTTCTTAAACAAGGAGGTTCTCGATTCGGTTGTAGTTTTTTTTTTATGTTTGTCACCTCATAACTCCGTCAGTTGTAAACCGATTTGGAAAATTCTTTTTTCATCTTAAAGAATATAGTTACAGTTTGGTTTCATAGAAATTTTATCAAAATTAGGTCGAAATGTCTTGGCGTTCAATGTTATTACTAGTATATCAATATTATTGCCACAGATTATATAATATTATAGTATTTATTATTATTATATTGTGGCGGTATATTGTGTTACGATTTTTTTTTAAATGGGTGATAATGGAATGGTAACCCTGCCTACACTATCAATATACGCCGACAGGGCAACAGTGAGGGATGATAGGTGACGATGAAAGCAGGTCAGTTAGGCCATCGTGACGAATTCCACTAGAATTAACCACGTTGGTATCCGGGGGGACCTGCGTGGAGGTTGACCTGATACCATTGCTGACAATGGGTCAGTTAGACCCCGTTACTAACAATCCCTTTCCCCCCATTCTGTTACGATGGAAATATCTTTTTTGAGCAACATGTGTTCGTTATCAAAAATCAATACTCTTCCTTTAAAAAATACTCATATGGCTTTAGAAAAACAGTCTGGTTTTTTTTCTAAGTTTGTCGCGTGCATATGTTTTTATTACATACCTACTGGTCCAAATTCGTGGGTTCAGGGTTCATTCAAACATGAAACTGTATACGTCAATAGCTAAATGAAGAATAAAATGAATCAATGGAAAAATAAATAAATCAAAATTTAAGTTTAAAAAAAAATGAAAAAAAAAATTGTCAACTTATGTTTGTATTGAAACCAAATCTATCAATATGTAAATATGAACTGTATTATTATTTTCTTTTTTTTTTATGCAACTTAGACTGGCAGATAAGCTGACGGCCCACCTGATGAAGTAGGACAGTTAGCCTTGACCTGCTTCATTCTCACCTATCATCCCTCACTGGTGCCCCGCTAGTGTATACCGATAGCGCAGGCGGGGTTACCATTCCATTATCATCCATTAAAAAAAAAGACACCCCTAATGTTGCAGGCATCTACAGTCTACAGTGACTATTTACCATCAGACGTGCAGTATGCTTGTTTGCCACCTTTATGGTATTAAAAAAAAAACATAATAATAAATCAGCTATGTCCCATTCGTGTTTCAACCGTGAAGCAGTTGTGTTCGCATGGCTGTGTTTCGGTTTGAAGGGTGGGATATAGCGTCAATTTACTGGGTACAGAGGAATAACACCTGAGTCCTCAGGAATGGCAACGCATGGGTGGTATCATGGGCGAAACAGTATACTCTGTTATGTCCATAGTACTGCTCATGTCTATAGGCGACAGTTACCACTTTCCATCAAGTGGGCCGTCAGCTTGTTTGCCATTCTAAGTTGTAAAAAAAAAAATTGTACAGATATGTATAGATTGACAAGCGTTAAACGTGTATCAACCCACTTTGTCTGAATACCAAGTGCCAGAAGTCGCCTAATGTTCTAAATATCGTTAAATATATTAGATAATTTTATAAATTGAACCACAGTTCAATATATTAAGATAAAACTTAGGTGTTATTGTTATGATAAAATAAGATAAGCGTCTGGGTCATAACCAAGTAATCAGTAACTCTGATACACTGTAATTTACCTGACCGAGAATTACATAATATTCTTTACATATTTACTATTGGCGACCAGCCGATGCAAACTCTTTAGATGTTATTATACTTTTTTTTATATATATTGTCTTTTCCTTGCTCGCTGTTATAGTACATTACTGCAGCGGCCAGCAACTGAGGCATTGATGGACGAACGTGCAAATGTGGGCCGAGGCGTAGCCGAGGCACACATACGTGAGTCCATCAATGCCTAGTTGTGGCCAAGGCTTGTATAGTACTTTTTTCGCTACTAAATTCCGTTTCTACATCATTTCATCATCTTATCACAATCCACTGCTCCGTAATATTTTCTTTTTTTTTTATACAACTTAGAATGGCAAACAAGATGACGGCCCACCTGATGGAAAGTGGTAACCGTCGCCTATAGACATGAGCAGTACCACGGACATAACAGAGTATACTGTTTCGCCCATAATACTCCCCATGCGTTGCCATTCCTGAGGACTTAGGTGTTATTTCTCTGTACCCTGTAAATTCACGCCATATCCCACCCTTCAAACTGAAACACAGCCATGCGAACACAACTGCTTTACGGTTAAAACACGAATGGGACAGAGGTACTCAAGCAAACGATTTTGCACAGTCTCCCTCTGATATAATACTTACCAATTTGGTAAAGTGATTTAGGCTTGTATTTTTTCAAAATTGGTATATACATATATAATATAATATAAGCGTAACTAAATAATGTCTGATATAATTTAGTAACATACATACATACATACATACATAGACATTACAAAAGCTAAAAAAAAAACAAATTCTAGTTAATAAAATGGCTTTTACTCAGCACGTGTCGAGAATCTTTACGCCTCACCGACACTGGTTTTTCGTAAGAGCCTATACAAAGATATTCTACATTATTAACCCCTGAAGTCCCACTGCTGGGCAAAGGTCTCCCTATCTCCTTCCAAAAGCTCCTGTTCGGCGTCATTTTAAAAACAGTCCCTTTTAAATTCAAACAGTCAATTTTGATTTTTTTGTTAGTGTGTATGCTTGCATCACTTAAAAACTGCAGCATTAAATTGGACGAGATTTTCACTGGTCTATTTCTGAAAATCTAACTTTGAATCTGATGTATGTTTTTTTTAATGGGTGATAATGGAATGGTAACCCCGTCTGCGCTATCAGCATACGCTAGCGGGATACTAGTGAGGGATGATAGGTGATGATGAAGCAGGTCAGTTGGCCTATTGTAACAAATTCAACAATAAATTAATCACAATGGTTTCCAGGGGAAACCGCGTGAAGGTCGACCTGGTATGGTATACTGCTAACAATGGGATTGCTAATCTCCATTACTAACATTCCCTTCTCCTCCCATCTGATGTATGTTTTACCTCAATACGCCATCCAAATATCTCTAAAAGTACAAAGACGTAGACAAAAACTAGTTCAAAAATAAGTCATACAAAGTACAGTTTTTCGTCGTTAGGAACGGCAAAACACTTGCTATTTGTGTATACATTCAGAAGTTACCACTTTCCATCACGTGGAATCAAAGTTTTAGCTGTAAACTAGGTTTGAACTCGCTACCATTAAGTTGTCGATTGTCAATGCAACTAACCACTAGATTAGAACGATCGTGTTATCAGGTAATATAGTATATTATATGCCAATAATATAGCATACTTGCGTCAGCGCACAATAACATATAATATATACTAAACATATAATATAATCTAGAATTATGGGTTAAAATAAAATCTAAATTTTTTTATTGTGGGTTGTATTTATGATAACAATAAAATATTTTTCCTCCATTTTAATACTGTATGGGGTAAATTTCCTCCCAAACGTGGAACCGATCTTCGAACAGTTTCTCACGTACCGAGAATTTTTCTCCGAGTTGCAAGTATTTGCGATCAGTCGGCGTCATCGGTGGCCAGGCCAACGTGGACAGTTCAGGGAGCTCGGAGTCACGAGGGTTTGGGTCACTGCGAGGCAAAATGGAACGTTTTAATAAGCAACAGTAAAGAATACGGAAGGAATAATAACAAATAATAATAGAATATAGTACGACTCAATATACTACGATGACCCATTTTCATTTTACTATGTTTTTGTCAGCTACTTGGACGTGGATTTTATAAAAATAGGGAAACCAATGAAATAGATGGCGTATCAAGATAAAATATGATGCCTACAGCTTCTTTCTACCATCGTACAGCTCGCCATCGACAGGGAGATCACCCAAATACCTTAGAGACTGGATGGTCGCGTACAGTGCGATTTCAGAGATGTTTCCTCCCATGAATGGTCAGGTAATGAAATGAGCTCTCTATTGATATGATTCACAGAGACTACAGCATGGAGTTCTCCAAAAAAGGGGTTAAAAGATCTCTTGAGAGTTGGTAACGGGCGCGTAACGCTTCTGGTTTAGCAGGCGTTCATAGGCTACGGTAACCGTTTACCATCAGGTAGGTCATGTGCTTGTTTGACACCTCAGTGGTATATAAAAAAAACATAGACCAGATTTTAAGTTAAGTTAACCAGATTTTAGTTTAAGTTAGCTGTGAAACTGTAAAAAGTGCATCAAGATTTGGTGCAATAATTTTAATCATATTAAACAACAATGTATAACTTTAAAGATTCTCTATAATATGTTTATATTATAAAATTGAATGCCTAATGAAATCGAAATCTCTTACCCGTATCTTGCAAAGTTGTACCAGATTGCGGTCATCTTGTCAACCATTTGTGAGTCCTTGCTGTCGCTCACTTGGATGGTGGGGAACCGGTAGCTCAGTGTAAACAGGTAGATCAGGTCATCATGGTGGGCCACACCTAAAAAATTTCAAAGAATTCCACTTTTTCGAGAGGTAATCTTAAAAGTTAATAGAATACTTGGAGTACGTAGTATGTATTATTGCCATCTTCGTGTATATTATAGTATATCTTATATATGTGTAAGTATATTTATATATATGTATATATTTACAACACAGGGGGCAAACGAGCATGCGGCTCACCTGATGGTAAGTGACTACCGCCGCCCATGATCGCCCACAACACCAACGGTATTGCAGGTGTGCTGCCGGCCTTTTAAAAAGGAATATGCTTTTCTTGAAGGTTATGTTATTTGTTTATTTATGTAAACTTTAGTATGTATGTATATCAATTATTACTAAAACCGTATTCGAGTATTCTGACACTTCGCTATGATTGACTGGGAGAGAATGCTTTTAGCATTAAATCCGCCATGTACACATATATGTACTAAATAAATAAAATATTAAGAGGGGTTAATATTAACATAGGATCTTATTAATAGTCGAGAACTCTTAGAATTTAATGTTCTCACGTGCATTTTAATGGTAGTGGAATTTAAATTATTCTATTATAATTGTTGCCCCACTAGTGTACATGGGATCTTCTCTATAAGAAGGAAATATAGCGTACTATTATGAGAGGCGTCAGACAGTACGACATTCAGTTTTCTTCCCTTCTGGAATTTTGTAAATTAGCTTTAGTCTGATCATTTTGAATTGAGCCTCTAGATATTCATCACTTGGCTCTTCATATCACAGGATACCTAAGCTTGAGGACCAGCGATTAGCGTGATAGTGTGGCACTTATTTTAATGTTATTACCTATTGGTTTCTTAGTATCCGGATCCTCGTAGTGGCTGTGATTACCGATATAGTCAAACTCTGCGTCATACACTTTATGCGGGGAATGACGGCACATCAGGTTGGCCATCCTGTAAACCGAAGAGTCGATCTTTAATGTTATACCTAATTGTTTTTTGGCCCGCAATCACTTTTTGCACAACTGCCTAAGAAAGATTATAATGTTTTCAGGGTTCATGTCTGTGAGTTACTTTATTCTGGACAGATTTGGATGTATGACATCTATCCATCCATCCATCTGTCTATAATTTAAAAAAAATCAGTAGTTTCAAATGTGGTATATCTTTTTTCATTATTATAGGCGACGGTTACCATTTTCCATAAGGTGGGCCGTCAGCTTGATTCTGAGTGGAATGAGAAAAAAAATATTTAGCCGTCTTTTTTAATTATAAAAGCTTATTTGTTGCCACAATTAGACAATGCATGAAACTATATTAAAAGAATTTTTCGTAACATAATGAAAAATAAAAGAGTCTTCTTCGGTGTGCACGTAAAGCCGCCTTTTTTTATACAACTTAAAATAGCAAACAAACTAACGGCCTACCTGATGGAAAGTGGTAACCGACGCCTATAGACATGAGCAGTACCATGGACATAACAGAGTATACCGTTTCGCCCATAATACCCCCCATACGTTGCCATTCCTGAGGACTTAGATGTTATTCCTTTGTACCCTGTAAATTCACGCCATATCCCACCCTTCAAACCGAAACACAGCTATGCAAACATAACTGCTTCACGGTAGAAACACGAATGGGACAGAGGTACCCAAGCAATCGACTTTTGTACAAAGTCTCCCTCTGGTAACACATGTCATGGACCTTCGATGTAATAAAGGCAGTTAAGAAACTCTTAACACCAGAGGATGCCACCCTTTCACGAGTAATATAATATCACGTAAATTGGGCTCTCATTTCCGCGCTTAGCCTCTCATTTAGGCCGTTGTGCGTATGAGTCGTGGCTAGTACAGTCAACCCAGCTCCGCCCAGAAGCACAGAGCTTCCTAGGATCTTCCCAGGCCTCACGAAGCGACTTCACTATTCCGAGGATTTCTAAACGTAGAGGGACCACAGCTTTACATTCCAGGATTATGACCCTCACACGAATAATAGTAGATCCTAGGCAATCAATATATACCGGTCACGACCAAGTCGCGGTTAAAACCTAGTATTACAAAAATTACCTGTGTGTTGGAAAACCAGTTATGGCATCTCCATAAAGTTTCCCAAGGCCCTGCGCACTGGCGTCGTCTTTGACCAATTTCTTGCCTCCAAGGTAAGCTTGCTTCAACCTGCTTACTGCTACTGAAGAGTTTTCCGGTGGTAACATAAAGGAAATTGGGGCGATCCGTTCCCACTCTTCGTTCATAGTATTAATCAGGGTTTCGTTTTTAAGAACATCTGAAAAGAATAAAATTATCAATAGGTTTAGTAGATTTTTTAATGGATGAAAATGAAATAGTAACCTTGCCTGCACTAATGGAATACATTGGCAGGACACCAGTGAGGGATGATAAGGGATTATGAAACAAGTCTGCGGGTCTATCGTGATTAATTCAATAATTAGCCAGTTTTAAAAAAGAGGTCGATCTGATAAGATATATTGCTAGCAATTGGACAGTTAAACTCCATTACTAACAATCCCTTTCTTTCCAGATTCTTTCCAGCTCAAGTCAGGTCAATTCCTATCATAACGAATTCCTCAAGAATTAACTTACTTAAAGCCTTCCAGAAGAATTCATTTCTTGTTTGGCTGATTATGTAGGGTACCGCGTGCATTTTACCCTCGCGGATCGCGTCCGTCGGATCCATCGTGAGGAAACGCTCTTGCCCAAAGTCTGGTTCCACCACAGCACTCCAAAGGCCAACTGGGTCCGAATTGAATTGATCCTTAAAGTAATAATATAGATAGATATTTACAAGGTTCTTTAATATAGCAATGCACAGCATAGATATCATTTAATACTTACGACATCTTACAAACATGAAAAGAACAAACATGTGAATCTATATGAGATTCTATATGTTTGCGGTCAAGTTTTTTTTGTTTGTTGTGATAACGAAAGTAAGGGATTTATCTCAGCATTAATATCATGACTAGACAAAGCAAACCCATAGGCGTATTTAAGATGGGAGCCGGAAAGGCCGTGCCCTAAAATAGGCTAGTAGCCACTCCAGAATTTGAGCGAAGCCTCAGAATGACATGTCTAAGAGTGTAAAAGTCTACATACATATGTACCTTTTTAAAAAAGTACCAGTTTCTTCTCCTCCTCGGTTTAAAGGGTGAGATAAACCGAGATATACCAATGAAATTGCAGTGTACAGTACACAGGAGACAACATTTTAATTCTAAAACTTGTACTATGGTTGTAAAAATGGTGTCGATTATAGCTAAATTTTCATTCTACAGATCAATATAGACTATGTCTTTTAGATGTAAGTCACAATTATTATAAATTTAGTACACGGTAGTTTATAAAACAGTAATTTTATGAAGCTGTCGATTAAAAATATTAGGTTACGAGATAGGTTTAGATAAATGGCTCAGAATTGACCCCAATACATTCTGTGATATTCATTACAACATGATAATAAATAAGTATATCAACTTACAAAAAATCCCGCTAATGAATAACCTAAATCTCTGTAAGATTTGGTCTTCAGACACGCGATGATTTCCTCAGAGGTGTTTGTTTGAGAGCAGTTCATGATCCGCACCTGTTTCTGTGCAAGGTCAAACTGATGGTGAGGGATAGGTGCTTTGGATGTCGCGGACCCACTCATCGATATAGCGCGGTGGAAAAGACCTGGAATATTTAATAACTTATCATCATGAGCACAAACATCAGAGAAGGGCTCGGGCAAACCTTGGTTCAAGACACGCCGAGGTGTAAGAGAGGCACTATAAGATTATTAAAGGATAATATTAAAATCAAATTCGTCGTTTGTACTTTGAGGTAAACAGCAAATCCGCAATCTTTTATTTATAATAGGGGAGCATCATTTAAAACATAGTTCAGGATCAGACTAACCCTATATTGATAATAGTAATAATGATCTGAAGGGCCTAATAGTAATTTTAGGTCAATGAGGTAAGTGTTCAAGTCTGCACCTTAACATCCTTTGAAGGAAGTGGTCTACCAGCGATAATGAATATTTTTACCAAAGAAATTTGGGTCGAAAACGACAAAAAATTTAAATCCAATCATCATCATCATTTCAGACATTATTCGTCTACTGCTAGACATAAGTCTCCTCCATAGACTGCCATAAGGAACGGTCCTGAACCACCTGCATCCACTGACTCCCTACAATGCATTTGAGGTCGTCACTCCATATAGTACGGGGTCTTCCGACAAATTCAATAATAAGTATTTATTCACTATATATTACATTATTTAAACCACACATACACGATGTGTGTATGTGGGTTTTCACACATATATACATTAACAGTCACTTGCTTAGGTTATCAGTATGACCAGTAATTTATCCGCCTTAGACGATTAATCTGGGTGTGGCAAAAAACAGATTTTTTTATCTTAAACTATTTTATTTTAACATAATAAATAGGTATTTTATATATAGAACTGTCTTCAAGTACTAATGCATTTTCAATCACTCTCATGGTACAATTTATTGGATCTAATGTCCCCATATAAGGTATGCTGGCTGGATTAAACGTAACCCCTTTCATTGAGCATAACTAACAGCCTTACCTTTTGACATTGGTGAAATCATGTGAAGCATTACACTCCTAGAACCGGCGCTGCACCCGGTTATAGTAACAAGATCCGGGTCTCCGCCGAATGCACGAATATTCTGTTGCACCCAACGCAATGCCACCACCTGGTCTTTGAAGCCGTTGTTGCCAGGAGCTAAAGCATCACCGGTACTGATGAAGCCTAAATTTTTAAAACAACAGTTTTTTTTATTATTCTTTTTTTTATACAACTTGGAATAGCAAACAAGCTAACGGCCCACCTGATAAAAAGTGGAAAACGTCGACTATAGACATGAGCAGTACCATGGACATAACAGAGTATACTGTTTCGCCCATGATACCCCCCATGCGTTGTATTTTTTTAATGCAAGGTACTCAAGATTATGTTTTACAAAATAATTTAGAAATATTAAATTTCAAGCAGATATTCCAGTAACAACTCAGTTGGACACAGCTCTGAGCCAATGCTCAAATGTTCTAAAATCGAATGCCAACAACTCTTTTAAATTCAATTTTGGATCATTTCAAATTATTGTTACTCGCTTCATGATTCAAAGTGCACGTAAAACCAATGTCTGGTATGTCTTCATGTACAATCAAAGGTGACAATTCTTGATGCTCTCGAAGAGATTATCTTTTATGTGAGATCCTGCATTCATTTCTCGATTGAACAAATTTAAGAGACGAAATTAGCTCTGATCAGAATAGTCTGGATTGTGCCTTCAGATATTTAGTTTCGTTTTTAATTACACGAGGTATCCGAGATAGGCAATAGATTTTTTTTTTATACAACTTAGAATGGCAAACAAGCTGACGGCCCACCTGATGGAAAGTGGTAACCGTCGCCTATAGACATGAGCAGTACCATGGACATAACAGAGTATACTGTTTCACCCATTATACCCCCCATGCGTTGCCATTCCTGAGGACTCAGGTGTTATTCTTCTGTACCCAGTAAATTCACGCCATATCCCACCCTCCAAACCGAAACACAGCCATGCAAAACACAACTGCTTCACGGTTGAAACACGAATGGGACAGAGGCAATCGACTTTTGTACAAAGTCTCCCTCTGGTCAAAAATAGATGTAATTGTATGGCACTTATAACTGTAAGTACCTAAATAAAATGTATAAACATTTTACCAAGAGTAGCAAGTCGATAGTTGATGGTGACCAGAACGATGTCTCTGTCGAGGAGGTAGTGAGGACCGGCGAGGTCGCTGCGACCCGTCATAGAGTAGAACCCGCCCGCATGAATGAAGAATATCACAGGCAGAGGCTTGGTGCTGTAAGAAATATAGAGTTTAGTAAACACAAATACAGAGTATAGAATACAGACCTTCTTCGTGGTTATGTTGTCTTAGTGCTTTTAAAAAAAATAATTAGTTACTGGAAGAATGCGTAATTGAAATAGCTGAGAGAGATTTGTGAAAGAAAAAGACATATTGCGCTGACCCAAAAATTATTGGAGAAAAGCAAGACAATGATAATGATGATGATAATTAAATACAAATAATTACATTTATTAAAAATAAAAAAAGCGGAATAGTGGGTACTTTAATTAAATATGATACCTTAGCTCGTAGGAAGAACAACACGCAAGGAGTACAGTGGGCATCACGGTGTGTTCTTTGATATTCATGGTGCTATTCATGTCTATAGGCGACGGTTACCATTTTCTATTAGTTCGTTTACCATTGTAACGAGCATAAAAAAAACATGAATGCCTATACTGAATTCTTAAGATGTATGAGATTTTAAAGACAGTGGATACGAGACCTACTATAACTCACTTGTTACCACCAGGTGTGTACACATTGATCCTCAAACAATCCTCATCGATTGTCACCTTCGTAGCTGGCAGAGGACATGCAGGGCCTTCTTTGCTGGCGTCTACTTCTTCGTCATATCGAAGTATCGGTTTAGGAGGCTGAAATATTTGAAATATATAAATAGAAATGTCAAACAAGCTGATGGGGCACCTGATAAAAAGTAGTAACAGTCATCTGTAGATACTCGTACAAATAGGAGCCATAGCTGTCGTATTACCCATAGAATCCCTCATCCTGAGGACCTTTTCCAGTATATCATCACAGAATGGTAATCTCTCTTGCGCTATCAGTTTACACTGATACTAGTATCCCACCAGTGAAGGATGATAGGTGAGAATGGTACCAAAAGTTAATCATGGTTTCCAAAACAAACCGCTTAAAGCCAGTCTAATATTATGTATTGTTAAAAATAGAAGCGCTAATCAACATTACTCACAATCTCCTCAGATTAAAGTGCGAATCTCCACGCTCAGGCATTGCTATATCCTTTCAAACCAAAACACCCGTTTTAGCACAGATGTACGGCAAAAACACGAGAAGAACAAAGACATATTCAGACAACCTTCGTAGACTCCATCTGGTATTGATTATTTTACATTGTGCGAATCTAACCTTGAATCTCAACTCTTCTACTGGCGGTTCAGCGTATCTGATACCGCGGTATGCTTCAAATCGTCGTCCACGTCGCGTCTCCATCCAGGATCCCAGGAAAGAACCGGATGATGACACCGTTCGGGGGCCATCTTGGGCTTGAGTTTCGCTCGCCGTAGATTTTGGAGCTGTAATTTTTTATACAGATTATAATGACAAACGAGCTAGCACCTCACTAGATAGGAAAGGGCAATCGTCGCTTATAGACATGAACAGCCACGAACGTTACAGTGCCAACTCATGTTGCCTCTCAGGAATTACTATTCCTCAGTATTGAAAGTGGTCGTTTACATGGCCATAACAAACTATTGATATCCCACAAGTGGGCATAACTCTTTCGCCAAAGTGGTTTCTGTCGAGATGTCTTTCAAGTAGCAGTTTTAAAGCCTATTGATAATCTTCAGGTAATTATTATTATAACTATTTACTAACATAATTTTAAGTCTATTATTAATCATTTTATTAATCCTGCCATCCTTACTAATATAACAAATGTGAAAGTGAATTTGTTTGTTACCACTTAGCGCCTTAACAGCTTGACCAATCACAATTAAATTTGACATACACGTATTATAAGGGATGGAGAAGGCAGAGCTACTTTTTATTCATACATTCATTCATTCTACTTACTAGTTACTCACTCGCTCACGCACGCACGCACACAAGCAGGCACGCACTAATTTATTCATTCATTTTCAAACTAGTTTTTTTTTTTATGAATTATAATGGAATGGCAATCCCGCCTGCGCTAACGGTATACGCTGGCGGGCACCAGTGAGAGATGACAGGCGAGAATGAAAAGGCAGGTCAGATAGCCCATCGTGATGAATACACCTAGGATTCAGCACAATGGTTTCCAGGGAGGACCACGTGGAGGTCGACTTGACAAAATATATTGCTAGCAATGGGACTGGTAGTCCGCGTTACTAACAATCCCTTCCCCTATCCAACCTAGTTTGGTTTTGCAAGTAAGTAGTGTAGGTACACTACATTTGCATTATTTTTACAACTTATGTTGGTTTTTTATTAAACACAGTGCAAGGCGAGACGCTGTGACGCAAAGCGCCAAACGCCCTCTGAAGGAGACTTTCGGATAAAGTCGAAACAATCGACGGAAACGACAAAAACACAGCGAATTCATTAATTTCCCGTTACATGCGTACACAGACAATTTTTTTTATACAACTTTGATTGGCAAACAAGCTGACGGCCCACCTGATGGAAAGTGGTAACAGTCGCCTATAAACATGAACACTTCGCCCATGATACCCCCCATGCGTTGCCATTCCAATCACTTTTCAATTCACTGCCATATCCCATCCTTCAAACCGCAACACAGCCATGCAAACACAACTGCTTCACGGTTAAAACACGAATGGGACAGAAGTACCCAAGCAAACGACTTTTGTACAAAGTCTCCCTCTGGTGGGGCAATTATAAACATTTACATATTTTACTCAGTAATTACATTCTATAGTAAAATTTAACCAGTAATTTGGATCTACAAAACTGAACTACTGAAACGATTTCGCTAAAATTTCTGTGACTAATATAAAAATCCTATACAATAATAAAAAAAAAAAATAAAAAAAAAATTTGGTTTTTTAAGGATTTAGAATTGATAGAGTTATGAGGTAACAAACATAAAAAAAACACAACTGAATTGTAACATTGTTCTTTTTGGAGTCGGTTAAAAAGAAGGCATCTTAATTTGATTGTATTTTTTGAGCCAATTTCGATTATTTATTTTTTTAATTAATGTCTTAGCAATTCTAAGTGAATAAAAATTTCAAACAAAGTTTACATTAAGCATATTTTAAAGAGACATAAAAAATTTAAAAACGATATATATATATATATATATATATATATATATATATATATATATATATATATATATATATATATATAACATATCATTTTACCTGTATCTACATATCCCTGCGGCCGATGTCCGTCTGTCTGTACAACAATAACAATACACAAAAACAACGTGTGAAACCACATAGTCGCCGTGTGGTAATAATTCCGCTGCGTCTGTGACGTTGTTCAGGATTGTAATAAACATGAATGTAGCTACGGAACACGATACAGTAAATTGTTAATACTATATAGACATTATTACCTGTAATTTATGGCAATTTTGTTTTTTGATGGGTGAAAATGGTATGGTAACCCCGCCTGCGCTAACGGGATACGCTGGCGGAGCACCAGTGAAGGGTGATAGATGAGAATGAAAACAGGCCAGTTAGCCCATCATGATGAATTCATCAGCAATTAACCATGATAGTTTCCAGGGAGAACCGCGAGGTCGACCTGGTTGGGTATATTGCTAGCAATAGGATTCTCAGTCTCCATTACTAACAATCCCTTTCCCCCCTAAGCGAATTTATTATTTACTAGCCAATGATATTATGTAATATCATTACAGGCCATATCTGTATGACCTACATGGCTATATGGTCGTGAATGTCCCACCATAGAATGAACCACCCCTTTTTCCCCGTGAGTGTAGTAAGAGGCGATTCATGTTTCTACCGTAAAGCAGTTGTGTTTGCATGGCTGTGTTTCGGTTTGAAGGGTGGGATATGGCGTGAATTTACAGGGTACTGAGGAATAACACCTGAATTCCTTAGGAATGGCAACACATGATGGGCCATCAGCTTGTTTGCCATTCTAAGTTGTATAAAAAAAGCAGAATTTCGCCGAGAATCGAACCAAAGAACCGTAGTGTTAAAACTACTTACTTTAGATAAATTCGTAATCGACAATTGAACCTGTGACTTCATATTGCGTGCGTAGGAATTAATAAATGCGATAAGTCGCTTTATTTTCCTCAAACACACGTTCTCTGATCGCGGCTTGGGATTTCCCAGCGTTTAGTTCAATAATCAAGTATACAAGCACGTTATATAGCAATTTGTTAAGGTTCCGTACTATTAATAGGTAGTTTTAGTTTCTGAAAAAACAGTATTTGTAATATACGACCTGATATATGTATATAAGAAATTTGATTGTTTGTTTGTAATGAATAAACTTAAAATTACGCCCCGATCTTTTCTAGTCTTCGATAGAGGAGGTGTAGTTGTAGCTGTTGATAGTAGGATATACGAACATACAGTTGATACCAAGCTTTTGAAGTGTCCGGAATATGACTGACGACTCCATACCCACTTTGTGCAAGGCGATCACTGCAATCCTATTTCCCTTAACACCCCGTTCCATATTGAAATTTGATAATGAACACGCAAATAATATGTGAAATGGCGCGAAATCGATAGAAGTTTTTAAAATAATAAACGTGTTCCAAATTCAAAATGATTAAAAAGTTGAAAAAAAAAAAAACAAAAGTTTTTATATGGCCAGACTAGTTATAGAAAGCTACATTACCAATGTAAACACAAGCTATATATATTATTTTAAAAAATGTATTCTACCCGTGTTGTTGCAGATTCAATTTAATATGTGACAATGAACTCTTTTTATTATTGCACGTACTGGCCACTAATACTTTTTTACTATTAAAAATATAATGCATTCTATCGAATCTATTCTAATTTGCTAAAAAAAAGGATGTTGAAAACATAACCAGAGGGAGACTTTGTACAAATCGTTTGCTTGGGTGCCTCTGTCCCATTCGTGTTTAATCGTAAATATGGCGTGAATTTACAGGGTACAGAGGAATAACATCTGAGTCCTTAAGAATGGCAACGCATATGGGGTATCATGGACGAATCAGTATACTCTGTTATGTCTATGGTACTGCTCATGTCTATAGGCGACGATTACCACTTACCATCAGGTGGCCGTCTGCTTGTTTGCCATTCTCAGTTGCATAAAAAAAATTAATATAATAATCAAATTGTTTATAATTACTCCTTTCCATCCAAAGGTTGCCTGGAAGAGATTACTTTTAGCAATATGGTCGCCCATTGTTTTCTCACAGTAATTATTTCTTGTAATTGTTTATATTTATAATAAGTTTACTATTGTAATCTTTTGGAGGAAACAATAAAGAGTATCTGTCTATCTATTTATAATAAATCAGGGGTTCACAGGGAAGTATTTAAGTCCTTTTTTTATTTCTAAATAGAGTAACAAATATTCATCCATCCATCGTTACAAACTTCCGCAATTATTATAGATAGATAATTTATTTGCATTACTTACTTACAGCACACAAATTATAACATACATATACAAAAAAAAAAGCGAGATAACATAAATGATAAAAAAAAATACATAAAGCTAAATACAACTTTCGTTTGTGAGTGTGCCATAGCAATACAAAATGGCCACAACACAGTTTACTGCTTCGCCCTCAAAAGAACAAAGCACTGATATTCTGTTGCGGCCAAAGGGAATAGGGTAACAGTAAAACAATACTACCAGATTATCCGTACAGTAAAAAGATAGATATACAGTAAACAGACAGATATGACAGTCTATCTAGCAGACAAATGGAACATAGAGATAACTTGCTGGAATGTCTAACTTTTGCCTCTCAATTAAGAATTTTTGTAAATTAATTTTGAAACTGGACTTAGTGGCGATCAGTCTTATATTGGTAGGATAATTTATTTATTTATTTATTAGAATAAACAGCTTTACAGCAAACCATTTAACTGCATCAATACATACCATATACATCATGACAAGTTGCAAATTTGATAATTTAGAACATTAATGCCGTTCGAATCTTTACTGCAGAACCCTAATAAGGATGGAACCCAACTAGGTAGCAAGGAGTGACACACTGACAGATAAAACGACTGTTTGTCCTCAAAGTACCTATATGTAGTATATCGAATGCACACTGCGAAGTTAAATTGACGGACATCTGGTGCAAACCGCATGTATATTTATAGCAAGTAGCAAGCGAGCGCGGAAGTGCGCCGGGCTCTCTCGAACCGATAGTTGGTTAACCATATTTACCAGCAAGTACTAAGATACATACAGACAACCAAAACAATCGGTAAGTGTAGTGACGTAGCTTATCAAAACAGAATATATATATATATATATATATATATATATATATATTATACAACTTAGAATGGCAAACAAGCTGACGGCCCACCTGATAGAAAGTGGTAACCGTTGCCTATAAACACGAGCAGTAGCATGGACATAACAGAGTATACTGTTTCGTCCGTGATACCCCCCATGCGTTGCCATCCCTGAGGACTCAGGTGTTATTCCTCTGTACCTTATAAATTCACTGCCATATCCCACCCTTCAAACCGAAACACAGCCATGCAAACACAACTGCTTCACGGTTAAAACACGAATGGGACAGAGGTACCTAAGCAATCGACTTTTGTACAGTCTCCCTCTGGTAGAAAGTAATATGTATATAATATATATATATATATATATATATGTATTATATACAAATATGTAAAAATATAATCTATCTATTATATACACACCTTATATCTTTGTACTATAAATATCAAAAACATGACCTTAAAAAATTACTTAAAGATAAAAAATTTGATATTAAGATGTAACAAAATGTACACAGACGGACTTATCCCTTAAAGTGATTTCTTCCAGTCAACCTTGAGAACACGAAATGAGAAAATATTTATAGGGTTTGCATATAAAGCATATTTATTATACTTATTTTTTTTATTATTTCATCCATTAACTGTCCACTGTTGAACATAAGCCTTGCCCATAAGGGGAGTCTTGCCAATAATTGCCACGCTTGGCAGGCGGGTTGGCAACCGCAGTTAGGCTTTAGAGATATTTTTAGAGGGACGCTGCTGCCCATCCCTCGCCCTCCTTTAGTCGTCTCTTACGACACCCACGGGAAAAGAAGCGGTGGCCTATTCTATGCCGGGACCACACGCCGAATATACATATTTATTATATACATGCTGCACCTATTTGTTCGTGGACGAGACGTCAACAAATGACGATAGAATGATCTCAACTGTCGCATCTCAAAATGCGTCTACAGTGACATCAGTGCTTGCTGTGGGCGCTGCAGAGCGGCACGTGACTCATATTCTTTAGATATTTTCCTTATTTACTTAGAAATGTAATTCACAGTAAGGTTATTGAGAAATTTTAGTTATTACTGATGATAAGGAAGGCAAATAAATAAACATATACATATGTACATGTAATATATTTATGTAGATAGATAGATAGATAGATACTCTTTATTGTTTCCTCCAAAAGATTACAATAGTAAACTTATTATAAATATAAACAATTACAATACAATATGTATGTGTGTATGTAAATGTATATGTATAAATAATTCAGTTATATTGTATACCATTTATTATATTTTGGATTTGTTTAGTATTTGTTTAGTTCCGCTACCATCGGTAGGTACGTGTGCGGCTGCCAATATTTATGGATTGACTCCTATTAGACAATTTTTTTTCGATGGGTGAAAATGGTATGGTAACCCCGCCTGCGCTAACGGGATAAACTGACGGAGCACCAGTGAAGGGTGATAGATGAGAATGAAAACAGGCCAGTTAGCCCATCATGATGAATTCATCAAGAATTAACCATGATAGTTTCCAGGGGAAACCGCGAGCAGGTCGACCTGGTTGGATATATTGCTAGCAATGGGATTCTCAGTCTCCATTACTAACAATCCCCTTCCCCCCTATTAGACTATTAATATACGTAAGCCACTATATAGTAACTAGCATGTGCTGAGGCAAACTTTGCATGCCTTTAGATAAGGCGAGATGTGTAGCTCACTATCATTTAAGGCCATTTGTACCACATTTCGAGCAAATAAATTACTATTATTATTAATTCTCACGCCAAGTTCATTTTGGGGTAGGCAGCGAGAACAACGCGTCAAAGGCCTTTATCCCTATTATTAATAATGGGGAGATTAGTCCCATTTGCTAGCAATATATATAATCTGTTAAGTCATCCTCCACGCGGTCTCCCTTGGAAACCATTGTAGTTTTTTTAATGGATGATAATGAAATGGTAACACTGCCTGCGCTATCGATATACGCTGGCGGGGCACCAGTAAGGGATGATAGGTGATAATGGAAAAGCAGGTCAGTTAGTCCATATTGATGAATACAGCTGGAATTTAGCACGATGGTTTTAGGGGATCCACATTAAAGTTCGTCCTGATAGAGTGTATTGCTGGTAAATAAGGTCAGTTGGACCGCATTACTAACAATCTCTTTCTTCCCTCGCGTGAAGGTCGTCCTGGCTGACCAGAAATATACCCATTCTGTCTATGGAGCTGCCAATAACCAGTAGCCGTTTTAAAAATTGTTAGCTCGTTAGAAATTACCGAGAAGCTGAATCATATGCGAAAGTATATAAATATAATGTACAATGCAGGCCACTTTAGTCGGTCTGCTCCCGTGCAGGAAAATGTTGGTTTTAACGCTCGCCTTTTGTTTTATGGTGCCATCGTCCGCTTGCCGGCAAACGGTCGCAAAACAAACAGGTTAGAATGTGATCCAGTTATTGTGATTAGGTACTGAGTCGCCGTGTGTAAATGTGGATTTATTTAAAAAGAGAACGTATACTTGGCTGAATGTAAATAGTTTTTACGATTTGAAAGATTTCTTTAAAAAAAAAAACAAATTGTAATTGTTAATGTTAAATAAATTTGCATTCTATCCCGTTGTTAGCTAAGTTCGAATGTTCTTTGACTAATGTAAAATCTTTGATTTTACCGTGTTTGAGTAAATAAAACATTATTATTATTATGTGGTGATAGGACAAGTGATAAAAATCGGAGTGGTAACTGGCTGAATGTAATCGGTTATGTATAAACAAAAGTTTTGTTTTATTTTTTATTAATATTAATTGTACACTGTAAGTATTACCAGCTGACTTTGGTGTATATATATATATATATATATATATATATATATATATATATATATATATATATATATATATATATATATATATATATATATATATATATATATTCTTTTGCACTAAAACATACAGTAACAACAAGAAGTTAATAACAATGTTAGCAAAGGCGAACTTATCTCTAAAAGAGATTTCTTCAACATAACACAGTGGCATAGGAAGTAGTGAGAAGGCAGTAGTAGTGCAAGACAGAAATTTAAATAAACATTTACATAAATTATAAATCATCTAATTCTTATGACTTTGTTTTATCATCATCATCATCATCATATACCATAACGTAACGTTATGTCTCTTTTTATTATCAGCTGTCCCTGACATTAAAAATACAGCAAATATGTCAGCCGAGTCAAATTCCTCGATTTTCGAAGACAATCCTGTAGTGACAACGCCGTCTGGTTCATTCCGAGGAACCTGGATGGAGACGCGACGAGGACGGCGCTTCGAAGCCTACCGCGGTATCAGATACGCCGAGGCTCCTGTCGGAAAGTTAAGATTTCAGGTACTTGCTTTATCTCTGAGTGTAACCAATCCTAGAGGGGGGAAAGGGATTGTTAGTAATGGAGACTGAGAATTGCTAGCAATATACTCAACCAGGTCGACCTCCTCGCGGTTCCCCCTGGAATCTATCATGGTTAATTTCTGATGAATTCATCATGATGGGCTAACTGGCCTGTTTTCATTCTCATCTATCACCCTTCACTGGTGCTCCGCCAGCGTATCCCGTTAGCACAGGCGGGGTTACCATACCATTTTCACCCATCAAAAAAAAAAAAACCAATCCTAGAATGTTCTAAAAGATGATTGAGGCAATAAAACTCAATGCACCAGTGAAACAGAAGGAAGTATCGTAAATAAACTCATGCCCAGCAGTGGAATTAAGAAATATTATTATAATTGATTAGACGAATAACCTATACCTAGTAAATAAAATATAATTTATCCGCATTCGAGTATTCTGACACTTCCCTATGGTTGACTGGGAGAGAATGCTTTTAGCATTAAGTCCGCCATGTACACATATATGTACTAATGAATAAATAAATAGATAAATAAATTTATTACAAGATATTAAATTTATTTGCTTATACGAGAATTCCAACCATTTGTAAAAAAAATCAATACAAATGACAATGAAATTCGCATCAAAACCCGTTGACTTGGTTTAGAAGAAGTAAGCGAAGAAACAGCCAGAATTTGTTTTATACTATTTTTTTTTATCTACGTTTAATTTGGGATTTTCGTTTTTATACATGTTTTTTTTTTCTTTTCTTATGCTACTTAGAATTGCAAACAAGCTGACGGCAGACTTTGTACCAAAGTCACTTGGCCACCTCTGTCCCATTTGTGTTTCTACCGCGAAGCGGTTGTTTGCATGGCTGCGTTTCGGTTTGAAGGGTGGGATTTGGAAGTGAATTTACAGGGTACAGGGGAATAACACCTGAGTTCTCAGGAATGACAACGCATATGGGGTATCATGGGCGAATCAGTATACTCTGTTATGTCCATGGTACTGCTCATGTCTATAGGCGACGGTTACCACTTTCCATCAGGTGGGCCGTCAGCTTGTTTACTATTCTAAGTAGCATAACAAAAAAGATCTGATCCTTATAATTAACTTAATTATACTATTTAAATATGATTTCATATTTTACGTTCAGCCTCCTAAGCCAATTCTCCACTATGATGATGAAGTGGACGCCACTGAGGACGGCCCAGCGTGTCCGCAGCCAGCACCTGTAGGATATTATATAGATGAGGACTGTTTAACCATCAACGTGTATACCCCAAGTCATGACAGGTACATAAATCATTCGTTTACCTTCTTCTTCTTCTTGAAAGCTTCTAGACATGATAATTTAATATCATCATCACCATATCAGCTATTAACTGTCCACTGCTGAATATAGGCCTCCTCCATAAAGGAGGGTTTTTCTAGTTGCCATGCTTGGCAGACGAGTTGGCAACCGCAGTTAAGTTTAAGAGTAACGCTGCTACCCATGCCTCGATTATTAAGTTCCCTTAGTCGTCTCTTATGACACCCACGGGAAGGCAAGCGGTGGCCTATGCTATGCCAGGACCACACGGCTAATAATAACACTAATAACCAGTAAGAGAGATGTTATTATAACCTTTAAAAAATTACATATTCCTTTTAAAAAAGCCTGAAGCACATTTGCTCCAGTATTGTTGGTGCTTACGGGCGGCGGTAGTCATTTACCATCAGGTGAGCCGCATGCTCGTTTACTCACTGTGTTATAAAAAAAGCGGTGTAGTTCAAGATATAGAGTCGTAACACTGTAGTCATCGGGAAAGACAGCATATGAGAGTTCTGTTGCAAAGTGACAATTGTCACCTATACCATACCTTATGTAGGTATGAACTTCTACTTTAGCCTCCTTACCACTTCGACTCATACTTCCATATCCTGTAATTTTACTGCATATATTGCTTTACCGAAAACCAATGGGAAAGAAAGCTTCTCGAGTGGCGACCTCGTACCAGCAAACGCAGTGTAAGACGACTCCTACTAGATGGAGTGACAACCTCAAATGGATTGCATGGAGCCAGTGAATGCAGGTGGTTCAGGAACTTTCCTTATGGCGGTGTATGGGGGAGGCTTATGTGCAGCAGTGACCGGATAATGGCTGAAATATTGATGGCGATGATATTACTTTTCAAGCCTGAACGTAACCATGCAAGCACATTCCATAGAAACACAAGTACACGTATGCAAACATCTTTGTACAAATACTCCCACTGGTAAGATCTTTTTATGCATAATAACATCCATTATGGTTTTTTTTTAATGGGTGACAATGGAATGGTAACCCCACCCGCGCTATCGGTATACACCGGCGGGGCCCCAGTGAAGGATGATAGGTGGGGATGAAGCAGGTCAGTTAAGCCCATCGTGACGAATTCAACAAGAATTGTTCACGATAGTTTCCAGGGGGAACCACGTGGATGTCGACCTAATAGGGCATATTGCTAGCAATGGGGCTGTCAAACTCCATTGCTAACAATCATTTTCCCCCCACCCATTATGGTTACAGTAAAGAACCACTGCCAGTGATATTCTTCATCCACGCCGGAGGATACTACTCGATGTCGGGGCGCAGTGACCTCGCCGGACCTCACTATCTACTCGACAGGGATATCGTTCTTGTCACCATTAACTATCGGATTGGATCTCTTGGTAAATGCTTTTATTTTTTTATGGATGATAATGGAATGGTAACCCCACCTGTAATAACGGTATACGCTGGCGGAGCACCAGTGAGGGACGGTAGGCGAGAATGAAAAGGCAGGTCAGTTGTGATGAATACACCTGGAATCCAGCATGATGGATTCCAATTTCCAAGGATCCCTCCTGTGGAGGGACACGGAGTGAATCTGTGGTGGTTAACTTGACTGGACATATTGCTAGCAATGAGACTGGTAGTCCGCATTATTAACAATTCTTCCTAAAATGCTTTTATTAGAAATGCCAGTATAGAGCCATGGTAGATGCAATATACCCCATAGAATGCCAATATATTCCTAGATCAATTGCTTTTACAAGCGAAGGTTTCAAAAACTCTGTCTTAATGAAAGAAACTTTAGAAATTCGCGGTAGAGTTTTATTGTGTCGAGAAGTCAAGACAAATCTTAGAAACTAAGTTATTAAGTATTAGATGAATTATGAAAGCGAAGGAACTAAGAAACATATGTAAAAATAAAAACCAGATTTACCACACAGATTTCTCTGTCTATCATGCAAAGAACTTGGCAAGTTACATCATAAAGAGACATTATAAAGTGGTGATCAGTATCCGTTAGGTAAACTTTTGTTAGTTGCCATCACTAGTCAAAAATCTTCGTTTATATAATTTAATTTTCAATTAAATTTCTTATCAGTTACTGAACTTATTTCTATTTCAACAGGATTTTTAAGCACAGGCGACGCATTAGCTCCCGGTAACAATGGATTCAAAGATCAAGTAGTCGCTTTACGCTGGGTACAACGGAACATACTATCATTCGGCGGAGATCCCAATCTCGTCACGATTGCAGGATGCAGCGCTGGATCTTCGAGTGTATTGCTTCATATGGTGTCGCCTATGTCTCAAGGTAATTGTAATTTTTTAAGTATTTTTGAGGTGTTATCATTGAACAGGTTTTCCAAAGAAATTTTGATCCTCTCATATTTACACACACACAGCAATAGTTAGTCCTACAATAAACAAATAGTCGAATTGAATTTTTTTCACAACTGTAACTATTCTTCTAGAGTTTGTTGCAGGCTCTTCTGAGCAGATAATAATATTCGAAACCCATTCGATTACTGAAATGATCGCATTAATTCCCATCTCTTATAAACCATAGTACTCTTTTTAATTAATGTTATGTCAGACAAAATCTTAATTAAAGATAGTATGTCCATAAGAATTGTTTTGTTTGAATTCCTAATGACAGGATTGTTCCACCGTGGCATATCAATCAGCGGCTCTCCGATTACCAAGGTGCCTCTGTCACAGGACATGCTAGATCTTGCACAAAAGCAGGCCCAAATATTAAACTGTCCCACAAATTCACCAGAGGCCATTGTTGAGTGCTTGAAAACGAAGTCGGCAAAACAAATGGGCGATTCGTTGACATCATTCTATGTAAGTCAACTACTTTTTTAATACTCTAATATTTATTTAAGATTCTTAAGTACTCATATAAGAGACTAAAAAAATATTTTAATTTAGATATAATAGCGAATCAACTGGTTGTTTGTGGCTTCAACTATGTGAAATCAAGTTACCACGGAGATCTCAGGATTGCAAATTTCTTCGTGCTCCAAATTTCAAGATTGTAGTCTTAGCATTTTCGGTTATCGAACCACTAGTACATCTTCTTCCACAACAAAAACAGCGACTAGTGGCGATACCCGTAAATTTATTTTGAATACCAAAGTACTAAATTGCTTTTGAAGTATTTATGGAACCAACTACTTCGAAATTGGTAATGTAAAACAAAAATTCAACGTCGATTCTGATTTTAAACCAATGACGAAGTTCTGATATAATAAATATAAAAATTCAACCGAAGTGAGAACCTTCTTTTTTGAATTTTTTCAGTTGAAAACTAAAATTATTGAAATTAATTTTATTTTAGGTATTTGGATCTGATCCTTTACTAATATGGTCACCAATTGTGGAACCTGACTTGGGGCAGGAGCGATTCCTCACCATGGAACCGATGGAGGCTATCCGCAAAGGGAAAATGCATGCAGTGCCCTTCATCATCAGTCGGACTACGGATGAATTTTTCTGGAAGGCATTCAGTAAGTTCCATAGAATGTTACCACACCAAATGACGCCAAAACAGAAATTTTTAGAAATTTTGTCTGTCTCTCCGTTCTGTCTGTACGTTTATTCCGGTATCACGCGAAAACTATTGCACCAAATTGGATGTAGTTTTCACAAGTATGTTTCTGAAGGTCTAATTTGAGTACGTATATACGTACTCTAAATTTCACAGATATTGGTTAAACAGTTAAGATGCTATAAACAAACAAATTAACTTTATTTATAATTTTTATTTCTCGTCAAATCTTTTACAGCAAGAATTAATTTACTTCGGTCTCAATAAACTTTTAAACGTTTACGTTGACACTGCACAATGTTGATAGCATTACTCATAATACATTTTCTGTTTCACAGCTGTCCTCAAAAACGAAACCCTTCTGAACACAATGAATGACGAATGGGAGCGCATCGCTCCAATCTCCTTCGCACTTCCTCCAGAGAATTCTGCAGAAACCGTGAATAGATTAAAGCAGGAATACTTCGGGGGAAAGAGGCTGGTCAACGACGAGTCCACCGCTAAAGCCTTGGGAAACCTTTACGGAGACACTCTGATTGGTTTTCCTGTGCACAGGTCAGTTATTTTCAAAGACAATCTAAATATTTGCGTCATCGAAATTGTAATTCTCTAAAATTTTAGGTTTAAATACAAATTTTGCAAATATGAAATATTAAAAACTCCAGAAGTAACCTTAGTTGTCTAATGAATTTGACCATATTCACAACATATTCATACCTTTTACAAACTATTCGTGTAATTTATCGTACGTAAGAAGGAAATATGTCTCTCTCTGTCTTAACCATTTTTAAAGCCAAACACGTTACTTGCGGGGGGGAAAGAGATTGTTAGTAATGGAGACTGAGAATCCCATTGCTAGCAATATACCCAACCAGGTCGACCTCGTCGCGGTTCTCCCTGGAAACTATCATGGTTAATTCCTGATGAATTCATCATAATGGACTAACTGGCCTGTTTTCATTCTCATCTATCACCCTTCCCTGGTGCTCCGCTAGCGTATCCCGTTAGCGCAGGCGGGGTTACCATACCAAATTTTACTCATAAAAAAAATACGTTACTTGCTATGTTCAATATTGAACAATACCATAAGACACAGCAGGGTAGTGAATTTAATTGGAAATTCGATGTTTCTAGTGTCAGAAGCATCCTAAAGATTATTTTTTGAAAGCCCCATGTAAAGCCCCATAGACTGCCTTTTATCAGGCTAATCATTATCACCATAGTTGTATAAATGTATTTTTCAGAATGGCCAACCTCATGTGCCGGCATTCTCCTCACAAAGTGTTCTATTACGAGTTTGCATACATTGGAGACCACAGTCATTACGAAGATCCAGTTACCAAGAAACCAACAGGTATTTACTATCATCATCATTATAGCCATCCAATAACATTCCACTATTACGAGATCCTAGAAGAACTCATGATCTTCCCATAAGTGAAAGCTATTACAACTATTATACCGTTTGTTCCCGACATAGAATGTCCCATCCCTTCCTTTCTCGTTGGTATTGTAAGACTAGGGGAACTTTATGGTAAAAAAAAAGAAATTAATTTGACATTCTTTCATAATATAGCTGCAGCCCACCATGATGACCTAATCTACCTGTTTACGTTGAGCTACCAGTTCCCCACCATCCAAGTGAGCGACAGCAAGGACTCGCAAATGGTTGACAAGATGACCGCTGTCTGGTCTAACTTCGCCAAGTATGGGTAAGTTAAACAACAGACTAGAAATTCTAGGGTCTTCGGAACCACTGCTTGCCATAAAATAACTTAATAAAGCGAGTGAAACATAAAATGTATATACAGATAGAGTCTATGTGCATATGGCATTTATTCCTCTATTCCACTTGTCAAGACCCCAGGCGTAAATGCGATAAATATAAGTAACTTTTGAATTTTAAGCTATACTGAGTATTTAGCAAATTGCCGTGAAGTGAAGCTGTGTGTGAATGAAGCGCCTCTTCCGTTGGTGTCGTAAAAGGTGACAAAACGAGAAGTGGGTAACAGCGTCCCTCTTAAAACATCACCAAAGCGGTTCTGCAGTTACCAACCCGTCTGCCAAGGGTGGTAACTACTGGCAAAACTTCTGAAGGGAGAGACTTTTGTTCAGCAGTGAACATTGGCTGATATGCTGATTAAATTATTGGAACACAAATCTATCTTCAGAAATTAGAATTTTATATGACGTACCTAAGATCTCAGCTTGGGTTTATCACCTGAGTATATTTTTTGACCTCCATCAATTTCGCAATTTTAAGTCGTATCATCATCATCAGCACCACCTTATTTATTACCTTTTCACTGCTGAACATAGACTTTCCTCCTAGACTGACCAGCTAAATCGTATTTATGACTAGTGTATATTGTTTTAGAAAAAGCGACTTCAGTCGTGACTGCACACTTCTTGGTAGCCTTCCACCGTATACCAATAGCACAGCCGGTGTTACCACTCCATTGTCATCCCATGAAAGTTGGTTAGTTGAAATGTTAGCTTGACCAGTGTCATGTTCACCGCAATGCAGATGCTTCAGACAACCTCATGCCTCATTAGGAATTACACTTGCAAGTCAATTTATTTATTCATTTTTTTACTTCTATAGAGATCCAAACCCTCGTGGCCCCGAGTACCCCGAGCTATCCAGTTTACATTGGCCACCCATGACGCCCACTGACCGCCAGTACCTGCGTTTTGGAGACGAGTTCTCTGTACACGAGAACCTCTTTGAGGACAGGATGAAGACGTGGGAAGAGCTGTACTCAGTATTGTACTGATAGAACATTCCTTACATTTAGAAATACTATTAAAATATAAGAATCTTGTTTCTAGTATGATTGAGTAATTAACTGCCCGCGATGTTAGAATAAACGATTGCCAACTGGACTGCCAAGCGTGGCAACTATTGGCAAAACCCCCCAAGGGGGAGGCTTATGCTCAGCAGTGGACAATCAAAGTCTGATATGATGACGATGTTGATGATTATATTAGTAAGATTTTTGAAAACAGGAGTTTTATGAACTTGCTACGGTTGTCGTTTCTAACAAATTAATTCAACTTCATCCAGAAGTCTTGTTCAGGGTGAGCACGTTGCTTACATCGTAGTGCCTCGCTTCGCACTGTAATTTTTGTTTTTTTTATACTTTAATGATGACAAAACAAACATACGACCCATCTGATGGTAAACTATTGCCATATCTATGGATGCCTGCAACATCATGCATATCAGATGTGCATTGACGATCCAAAAAATTGCATTCTAATATGTAAATCTAGGTATGTAAGGTAATACTTTGTTTTTTTTTTATTATTTAAAATGAAAAAAAACTAAATCTTCTTATTAATGTTTTGTTTCATTGTAGTGTTATTAATAAATTATTGAAATTATTACCTTGTTTTATTAAATACACTTATTAAATAAAGAATTTGAAATAGCAAACAATATACCTGCCAACCTGATGGAAAATGGTCACGCACGCCTATGGATATGAACAGCATCCTGGACATTGTGCAAAAGTCGATTGCTTGGGTACCTCTATCCCATTCGTGTTTCAACCGTGAAGCAGTTGTGTTTGCATGGCTATGTTTCGGTTTGAAGTGTAGGATATGGCAGTCAATTTACAGAGTACAGAGAAATAACACCTGAGTCCTCAGGAATGGCAACGCATGGGCGGTATCATGGGCGAAACAGTATATTTTGTTATGTCCATGGTACTGCTCATGTCTATAGGCGACGGTTACCACTTTTCATCAGGTGGGCCGTCAGCTTCGCCATTCTAAGTTACATAAAAAAATCACCATCATATCCCACCATTTAAACATACGTGGGGCATAGATAATCAAGCAAAGGACATTTGAAAAAAATAATCCGTCTAGTACCATTATACTTGTAAGACAGTAGCCATGTAGGTCTCGGCATGGTATAAGTCACCCCTTCCTTTCCCGTGGGTGTTCTAAGAGGCGACTAAGGGATCTTAATTGTCGACGAATGGGCAGCAGCGTCCCTCTTAAAACATCACCAAAGTAAAACCGTGATTGTCAATCCGCCTGCCAAGCGTGGCAACTACTGACAAAACCCCACTTACGGAGAAGACTTATGTCCAGCAGTGGACAGTTAACGGTTGATACAACAATCATTATATAAAATACGGCACGGATGGACTTTTTCACAACATTTTAAAAAGTGGTTATTGTGACATAACGATAATAGTTGGACATATGGTATCGCGAAGTTTTCTGTAGTTATTGATATTTCCTTCAATATTGTAGAACATACTTTTGTTCTATCACCAATAGTTTCCGCAGCGCACGCGACGAAATATATTTTATAGCATTTCTTTACACCTTGAGTTACGTTACTAAAGTTTTAGTAAGGATCCCTAATATCTTCTGGCAATAAATATAGCCTATGTTACTCGGGGTGAATGTAGCTTTATAATGGTGAAAGAATTTTTGTAATCGGCAAAGTAGTTTTTGAGTTTCTTCATTACAAACATACTATCTATCTATCCTATTTAAGAGCTGCGCTCTTGTCGGTGGAGCTCTTGCCACTTACTACGATTTTCAGCGAGTCTCTTCACCTCTTGATACGACACGACACCAACTCCTTCCTTGATCCGCCTGATGTAACTATGCCTCGGTCTCCCCCTTCCCCTCCTTCCTTCTATCTTACCTTCTATTATAATGTTCATAAGTTCGTCGTGTCGTATCAAGTGTCCTAACATTTTCCCCCTTCTGTCCACAATAGTTCTAATAATTTGTCTTTTTTCCTTAACCCCAAGCAGGACCTACATACATATACACAAAAATACAATATTATAAATCACACAATGATCTCCACTAATAAAGAGGAACTTTATATTATTAGTGGAGATCATTGTGTGATAACATTGTAAGTACATTGTTAAATATTAACACATTCATTACACTTAGTTAATTAACTCAAAGTTACGATTTAGATACGCGAAATTTACACAAAACTTGCTAGAGGAATGTATAATTAACAAAAACCGGTTCGCCAATAAGGAAAACGGTAAGTTTCGTGGGAGAACCCAAGTCCTAGACATAACAACGCATGCATGTGATACAATTAGTATGTAGGCACTGTTGATATTAATTGTTCTCGATGGACATGGGTAATATCGGGTAATGGGGGGAAAGGGATTGTTAGTAAGGGGTCTGACTACTCCATTGCTAGCAATATACCCTATTAGGTTGACCTCGGTTCCCCCTGGAAAGCATCATGGTTAATTGTTGATAAATTCGTCATGATGGGCTAACTGACCTGCTTCATCCTCACTTATCATCGCTCACTGGTGCCCCGCCGGTGTATACCGATAGCGCAAGCGGGGTTACCATTTCATTGTCATCCATAAAAAAATATCGGGTAATGGTATATTTATATCGGTCTTGCTGTTCCGATATGTATATATTGAATATCTGATATCGATTTACTAAATAAACAGATATTCTGTATTTTTTTAGTGGGTGATAATGAAATGGTAACCCCGCCTGTGCTATCAGTATACGCTGGTGGGGCACCAGTGAGGGATGATAGGTGACGATGAAAGCAGGTCAGTTAGTTCATCGTGACGATTCCCACTAGAATTAACCATGATGGTTGCCAGGGGTAACCGCGTGGAGGTCGACCTGATAGGGTGTATTGCTAGCATTACTTACCATCCTCCCTTTCCCCCCTAGTTATTCTGTATTGGTGGCAACTACAGGCAAAACTCCTATTATCCCTTTCAGACCTGAACGATCCGTATCACGCCCGTGCGTGAGTTGTAACTTTAAACAATTCTAAAACCGCGCGCAATTCATTTTTACGCACGAAGCTGAAATAACATGATAGTGAGATTCTAAACCAGCCAAAAAGAAATCAATTTAGCGGTTAGGTGGTGCAGTAGTCTCGTGCGTGCCGGCAAGATGGCTTGGCACCAAAACACGAAAATATATATATTCTTTATTGCACAAAAACATACAGTAACAACAATAAGTTAATAACAATGTTAGCAAACGCGAACTTATCTCTAAAAGAGATTTCTTCCAGTCAACCTAACGCAGTGGCATAGGAAAGTGAGTGGGCAGTAGTAGTGCAAGACAGAAATTTAAATAAATATTTACATAAATTATAAATAATTATATATACACACATGCATTCACATATATACATACATACACATACACATATATATATACATATACACATACATATACACACATACATACACACGTTAAATACAACATATAAATATCAAATACAAGAGAACACAATGATGACAGTCTTCTAATCATTTTTATATTTAAATTAAATTGGAAAGATAAAATGATTTTAATCTTTTTTTGAAGGAACTGCTAGACGGGCTATTCTGAATATTCACGGGAAGTTTATTCCACAGCTGTACAGCACGATATGCAAATGAGTTACCCATAAAATGGGTTTTACAGCAGGGAAGCTTCAGTACCCTGGACTGGTTAATATATTTAATGTTAAACAAAAAAAAAATCTTGGGTCTGAAAGGGTTATGGGGAAGGCTTATGTTCAGCAATGGATCCTTAACAGTTGAAATAAAAATGATTAAACTTATAAAAAAGTCAACGATGCCATATGTCTATATAGTTTACTATAGTAATCTTTCGGAGGAAACAATGAAGAGTATCTATCTATCTATATTATACGGATAGCTTTCTATAAACATTTTAATGTTTAAAAAAAACAATATTATAATTTTTCTACTACAGTTATTATCAATAATAAAGATTGTTTTTTTTATAACTAGACACTGCATGACTGCACCGTTCATTGTACGAAATATATACACATTTGTTTGTAAAACTGTGTCCTAGCCAAAGAGGGCTGACGTCAGGCAGGCGGCTGGTCGTAAAACTATAAGCCAAATCTTTTAGTAATTAGTGTTATATTATCTGTGGTAATATATATAAATATTACGCCGAAATAATAATTGGGATAAGAGCAGGAAGACGGTGATAACTGTGTCCTTCTCCATACCAAATAATATGTGTATAATGCTAAATTATAATACATAATTTTTAGTCCGGCCAAGAGAATATGTCGATAGATAAATAGATTATTTATTTACATTACTTACAGCACACAAATTACAATAAAAAAAAACATGAACAATGAAAATAAAAAAAAAAAAAACAAAAAAACAAAATATATAAAGTAACAATTACCTTTCTTTCCTTTCCTTCATGCGTGTGCCATAGTATCTCATGAATAAAGTCGCAAGTACAAAGTAGTTCAGTAGATCCAGATGGAGATTTTGTACAAAAATCGTCTGCTTAAGTACCTCTGTCCCATTCGTGTTTCTACCGTGAAGTAGTTGTGTTTGCATGGCTGTTTTTCGGTTTGAAGGGTGGGATATGGCGTGAATTTACAGAGTATAGAGGAATAACACCTGAGTCCTCAGGAATGGCAACGCATGGGGGGTATCATGGGCGAAACAGTACACTCTGTTATGTCCATGCTACTGTTCATGTCTATAAGCGACGGTATTTTTTTAATGGATTTTAAAATAGTAACCGCGCCAACGCTATCGGTGTATATCAGTGGGGGATGACAGGCAAGGATGAAAAGATAGGTCAATTAACCCATCGTGACGAATTCAACGATAAATTAACCACGATAGTTTCCAGGGGGAATCGCTTGAAGGTCCACCTGATAAGGTATATTGATAGCAATGGGGACTAACTTCCTCATTACTAACAATCCCTTCCCTCCTATAGGCGACGGTTTTTTTTTTTTCAATGGGTGAAAATGGTATGGTAACGGGTTACGCTAGCGGAGCACCAGTGAAGGGTGATGAGAATGAAAACAGGCCAGTTAGCCCATCATGACGAATTCATCAGGAATTAACCAAGATAGTTTCCAGGGAGAACCGCGAGGAGGTCGACCTGGTTGGGTATATTGCTAGCAATGGGATTCTTAGTCTCCATTACTAACAATCTCTTTTCCCCCCAATAGGCGACGGTTACCACGTTCCATCAAATGGGCCGTCAGCGTATTTGTCATTCTGAATTGCATAAAAAAAAACAATAACAATAACTGTATCAGGATACCATATTTCGTCATCCATTCCTCTCTTCTGAATCATCATTCTGAGTCCTCGTATCGGCTTTGTTCACTTAATCAATTCTACTAATCTCTTGTACCTTTAGTATCTGTCGCCGACATTAGTACACACCTTGTTTTATATTTTTTATTCATTAGTACATATATGTGTACATGGTGGACTTAATGCTAAAAGCATTCTCTCCCAGTCAACCATAGGGAAGTGTCAGATTTTTTTTTCTATATTATTATAGTGGCATATATAACAAAATAAAAACATCTGTACTAATATTATAAAGAAGTAAATTTGTGACTCTGGATGTTCGTGGTAATCTCAGACACTCACTTCTTCTCTTATCATTCAAGAGTTTCTTCTTTTTTTAACGGTTGATAATGGGTATGGTAACCCCGTCTGCGCTATCGGTATACACTGGCGGGGCACCAGTGAGAAATGACAGATGACCGGCGCGTTCATCGCTAAAGATAACCCATTTGCTGTGGCCCCACAGTTCCAGGGCATGTCTCTTAACATCTCTCAAAGCATTGGGATCCTTGGTATCGACATCTCTAGTGATGTACAGTTCCGTGGCCACCTCGAAGATAAGGTGAAGCTGGCATCCAAAAAACTCGGTGTGCTTAATGGAGCGAAGCATTACTTCACGCCGGATCAGCGATTAATGCTGTACAAATCGCAAATCCGGCCTCACATGGAGTGTTGCTGTCACTTATGGGCGGAAGCACCTAGATACCAGCTTGAACCCTTCGACTCAGTGCAACGACGAGCTATGAGAATTGTCGATATTCCCAGGCTTACAAGCGGTATTGAACCCTTAAATCTTAGGAGAGAGTTTGCCCCACTCTGCGTGTTCTACCGCCTGTACAACGGATTGTGATTATATTGCGAATAATGGGGTTATCAGACCCCATTACTAACAATCCTTTACCCCCCAAAGAGTTTTCTTTTTTCAGCTAATTCATACATCTCCGACACTACTGATCCTATCTGTAAGTGACCTTTGCAAATAGAAAAAAAGTGTTCCAATTCAAACGGACGAAACGCACTGACAGACACACAGACGTAGATGACATTTCTAAAAATTATTGTTTTGGACATCAAGTATTAGTGCCTATATACCTACAGGTAGGAGGTATAAACGTACGGTATATAAGCCAATTCAATTCACATATAATTACAATCGAGTAGTGATCGCATAAGGAAAATGTTTGTAAACACATTGCTCATTTGTTTTCTTGCCGCTTGCACGCTGGGACACCGGCATTATCTGAACAAGAGCGCGTTATCAGGTTCGGTTTAAACTGTTTATATTAAATTCAATTTGTAAACTAGTACCGACACCAGTCTCTCGCAAAGATTTTTTTTTTAAATTTCAACCTATATAGCTGTAAATATTATTATGTTGTCATTTTGTGAGAGAAATAAATAAATAAATCTATTATTATGAGTCACTAGTGGGTTACCATTTGGGCACAAATAAATAGGTCTCTATGTTACGTCTTGTTTTTTTTTTGTAAAGTTAATAAATTATGACCCACTTAGAAAGTCGTCTTCAATAAATCAATTTTGATAAAATTTCTATGCCACCAATCTGTAGGTATATTTTTATTTAGATAAAAAAATTACGCAGTTATGAGGTGATAAACATACAAAAAAGATACAACTGAATTTACAACCAGAGGGAGACTGTACAAAAGTCAATTGCTTGGGTACCTCTGTCCCATTCGTGTTTCTACCGTGAAGCTGTTGTGTTTGCATGGCTGTGTTTCGGTTTGAAGGGTGGGATATGGCGTGAATTTACTGGGTACAGAGGAATAACACCTGAGTCTTTAGGAATGGCAACGCATGGGGGGGTATCATGGGCGAAACAGTATACTCTGTTATGTCCATGCTACTGCTCATGTCTATAGGCGACGGTTACCACTTTCCATCAGGTGGGCCGTCAGCTTGTTTGCCATTCTAAGTTGTATAAAAAAAATTGAGATCCCTCTTTTCTTGAAGTCGGTTGTAAGTGCAACCTATGGTGATTATATTACTTGATTGGTATTTTTATCTCATTCCGTTTTTGGAATTATATTTTTTTTTTATAACAAAGGGCAAACGAGCGTGCGGCTCACTTCTTAAGCTTAAATAAATCTCTTGACTTAGTTATTATTTAAATCAATAATTAATTTTGAGTAAAATTCCATACAAATAATTTGAATGTATTTATGAATGCACGAGTATGTAAACGGTGTAACGGAAACGATTAAAATTTAACTGTTTTTATTTTTGCTGATAGCATTGAAAGAACAGGCCATTTGCTCCAAGGTTAAAAAATATATAAACAATGCACTAGTGCTAAATTAAACACCTAACTTTACAATTTGTATGACATGTATGAAGAATATTACCAGAGGGTGAAAGACGAAACAGTATACTCTGTTATGTCCACGGTACTGCTCATGTCTATAGGCGACGGTTACCACTTTCCATCAGGTGGGCCGTCAGCTTGTTTGCCATTCTAAGATGTGTAAAAAAACCTTTCCTGTAGACTATTTATTTCATATGAAAAGATCTTATCACTCAAGCAACCTTTTCATTCCAGTTTTATTATTGATTTCAGTGTAAAGGTCATAATTAGGTAATAAATAACGTTTTCTATTTATCTGTTATCCAAAATAGCAACAACTGCGCCAAATGTTCAATCAGAAACACCAGACAAAACTGCCCAGACGGGTCCCCTGACTGTATCAACGTCCGGTTCCTTCCGAGGGTCCTGGATGGAGACGCGTCGCGGACGTCGTTTCCAAGCGTACCGTGGCATCAGATATGCTGAACCACCTGTGGGTGAACTTAGATTCCAGGTAAACGCTGCTATTAAAAGTAAATCATCGTCGTCATCATATCAGACTTTAATTGTCCACTGCTGTATGTTCAGAAGCAAGTTTGGCTTTAGAGATGTTTTAAGAAGGACGCTGCTACCCATCCCTCGCCTCCATTAATTGCCTCTTACGACATGCACGGGAATAAAGGGTGGTCTATTCTATGCTGGGACCACATGTCCGTGTGTAAAAGTACATGATATACCTAACACCCATGCTTGGTGGGAAAGGGATTGTTAGTAATGGAGTTTGACAGCCCCATTGCTAGCAATATGCCTTATTAGGTCGACCTCCACGTGGTTCCCCCTGGAAACCATCGTGAACAATTCTTGTTGAATTCGTCATGGTGGGCTAACTGACCTACTTCATCCTCACCTATCATCCTTCACTGGTGCCCCGCCGATGTATACCGATAGCGCGGGTGGGGTTACCATTCCATTATCATTCATTAAAAAAAAACACCCATGCTTTTTTTTGACTTTATAGAAGCTTAATGTCTTTTATTACTTAAAATGAAAATCAAACTAAATTGATGGCCAGATCCTAAAGAGAACCTGAAAATCTATATATGTTTCGACCTAATTGTTTTTATGACAATTACATTGGCAAACAATCTGATGTTTTACTTTATGGAAAGTGGCAGCAGTCGGTTATAGACACAAATAAAGTCAACTACATCACAGAATATACTGTGATGCCCATCCCAGAGATCTGGTGTGTTATGCCCCCATACTCCGTAATATTGGTGTTATATCAATCATGCACTCGCTGTTATTTCAAAGCAAAAACATGGAAGTTACAAAGGTATACATGTGAACGATTCTTGCACAAAGTCTGATTACAATGTTTCTTTAATGTTAAATAAAGACTATTATAAATATAATCAAGTAAAAAAAATATTACTTACATTTGCGACATGTCAATAAACTGTAACTCCCATAAAACCTATGCACTGCCATTCCTAAAGGTACAGAAAAACGATAAGGTAAAGACTTGGATATATGTTTGTCGATTATTTAGTATCTCATCTCTTGCAGCCGCCAGTGCCCATTCTTCATTATAAAAATGAGGTAGATGCGAGCAAGGAAGGTCCAGCGTGTCCTCTACCAGTATCACCCACCTACTACATCGACGAGGACTGTCTCACTATTAATGTCTACACGCCGATAAATAAGCCAAGCAATTGGTATAAATACTTAATAATACTTTGAACGAAGTATGATGTATGTAAGGGATGAATGTAGGATACTCTTGGCCAATTTTGTAATGAATCTGATATGAAGATAGATAATTTCTTCATTAAGCTAGTGTTACAGGAATAAATTTACAAGCAACCAAACACAACCCTAATTTAGCCGCTTCCGTAGAATTGCGTTCCACCTACATATATGTATTAATCAAGAATAATCCTTTCGACTAATAAAGGTACCAGAGGTACCCCTCGCTTACCAGAGGGAGACTTTGTACAAAAGTCGATTGCTTGGGTACCTCTGTCCCATTCGTATTTCAACCGTGAAACAGTTGTTTGCATGGCTGTGTTTCGGTTTGAAGGGTGGGATATGGCGTGAATTTACAGGGTACAGAGGAATAACACCTGAATCCTCAGGAATGGCAACGCATGGGGGGTATCATGGGCGAAACAGTATACTCTGTTATGTGCATGGTACTGCTCATGTCTATAGGCGACGGTTACCACTTTCCATCAGGTGGGCCCTCAGCTTGTTTGCCATTCTAAGTTGTATAAAAAAAAAATAATAGAGAACCTTTCTTGATGATCCTTGGGAGCTAATTTTTTTTTATCACGAAAGTGGCAAACAAGTATTCAGCCCGACTTATCGTAAACAGTTACTGCAGCCTATGGACGCCTGCAACATTAATGGATGTCACGTATGCTTTGTCGATCCTGAAAAAGATTTAATACACTCTTTTCAAAGAATCTCATACTATGGTCTCTAGGAAAACCTCGGCAGGAAGTTGATTCTACAGTCTGAACGTTCGGGTAAGAAAACTTTTCTGAAACTGTACTGTACGTTACCCTTCAGGTTTTATCGTGTGAGGATGAATTACCTGTCGATAACAAGCAGTGCGAGATGATAAAAGATAGCTGTGGGCATTTGCTGCTTTAACCATAATAATTTTTTTTTATATACAACTTAGAATGGCAAACAAGCTGACGGCCCACCTGGTGGAAAGTGGTAACCGTCGCCTATAGACATGAACAGTACCATGGACATAACAAAGTGTACTGTTTCGCCCATGATACCCCCCATGCGTTACCATTCCTGAAGACTATAATAATACGAATTTACGGGGTACAGAGGAATAACACCTATTCCTCTGTACCCCGTAAATTCACGCCATACCCACCCTTCAAACCAAAACACAGCCATGCAAACACAACTGCTTCACGGTAGAAACACGAATGGGACAAAGGTGTCCAAGCAATCGACTTTTGTACAAAGTCTCCCTCTGGTAAAGTTTCATACGATAGTATGTTTATGTAAACTGATAAATAGACAGGGTTCTATAATGTTTGGAGTAACTGTACTCGTAGTTCAGACATCCAACCCATTACCTAAAAGTAGTTTCAATTTGAATTTAAACCTTTTTGTTAAAATCCCGTTTTCTCTCTTAAACAGCACCAAACCCCTGCCTGTGATATTCTTCATTCACGCGGGCGGGTTCTACTCCATGACTGGTCGCAGCGACCTCGCCGGTCCCCACTACCTCCTCGACAGGGACATCGTACTGGTCACCATCAACTATCGAATTGCATCTCTTGGTAATCTATACTTATATATTTTCTGGTCTGGTATTATCACTTATAAAATAAACTTTCTAACACCCATGCTTGCATTAGTAGATATTTGGCATTAAAATTAATAGATAAATCTAACTTAACGCGTGTCTTTAGAGAATAACTGAAATACGTCTTTATTATTCCAATGGCCTTACTACTGAGTTAAATTAATTATTTTGACCAAATCAATGTCTTCTATGTCTTTGTAAAATTTGAATATTGTCCCTACACAAAGATTCTCCACAAATGTATGAAAGAATATAAGTGTTCTTATTTCATATCAAAAATTTTATCAGGATTTCTTAGTACTGGCGATGCTCTCGCTCCTGGAAACAATGGCTTTAAAGATCAAGTGGTAGCTTTACGTTGGGTGCAGCGCAATATCCGTGCCTTCGGCGGAGACCCAAACCTCGTCACCATTACTGGCTGCAGCGCTGGATCTTTCAGCGTCATGCTTCATATGATTTCACCCATGTCTAAAGGTATATGTAGTAAACAGAAATTATGTTTTTTATCAAGTTAATATAATGTTTAAGTTATAAGTACAGTTTCATTAATAGTTGTGATTTCTTTTATACGATTTGAAATGGTATCCACATATTTTGCTATTCCCGAAGAATAAAGTGTTAGATATCCACGCCATACAATTTCACTGCTATATATAGCTCTTAAATTAAAGCACAGTCATTCACACGACTGTTTGGATGCAGAAACACGAGCGAAGATTTCTTAATGCTAGAAATATAAGTGCGTCAGTCTGTACATCTTACTTATCCATGATAATAGTTGTATATAACAATATATATGTATATTTAGGTTTATTCCATCGTGGCATATCTATGAGCGGTTCACCCGTCAGTCAATCGACAGTAGAGCACGACTTGTACCCTCTGGCTGTGAAACAAGCAGAGTTAGTTGGATGTCCCACCAATAACTCCAAGGTTATCATCGATTGTTTGAAGACAAAACCCTTCAGGGAGATCGGTGATTCGTTGCCTGGATTCTTTGTAAGTATTCAGTTCTGTTTTGTTTAAATATAGAAAAAAATCCAAACCAGAAACAAGTGTTTGAAACTTCGTCTATTTCAGTTTGATCAACAGCCAAAAATTTTGTATCAATAATTTTTTTTTAACCTCCAATGCAAAAAGAAAGTATTATAAGTTTAAAATATCTTGATATTCTAATGGTAAACTCATCGTGGCAAATTCACTACGAATTATCTATTTTTTTCCAATAATAATTTCATATTAGAGGAAACGGTTTCTATTTTTTCAACTGCTAAGCCTACGGCTATTTAAACTTACTATGAAATAGTAATATTAATTAAGTTAGTTTACTATATTTTTTCGTGATTATTACTGTTTTTAAGGACCCGCTATTCTCTTATACATTGTGGAGGCCGGTGGTAGAGCGAGACTTTGGTCAAGAGCGTTTCCTCACGATGGATCCCTCAGACGCTATCCGACAAGGGAAGATGCATCCTGTCCCACATATCATTAGTCAAACACATGACGAATTTTTCTGGTCAGCTATCCGTAAGTGTCATGCGCAATAATCATATGTATTTTCCTAAAAAATTGATCGATTACAATTTTGATAAATTTTCTATAGGATTAATCTAAAATCTAAATCCTTTCAAAGAAAAAAAATCTAAATCGGTTTATAAATGACGGAATTAAAGTAACAAACTTAAAAACTACAACCGAACTGAGAACTTTCTTCTTTTTTTGTAATCGATTAAAAAATATAATTTTTATAATGGTATTCTTCTAAAATAAATATTTAAACTCTCTTATTTATCTTCAGCCATCGTAAAAAATGATACCCTTCGGAAGACTTTAGACGCAGAATGGGAAGTTTACGCTCCAATTAACTTCCAACTACCAAAAGACAAGTATGCAGTGGCTTCAGGAAATAGACTGCGGGAGGCGTACCTTGGTAACGAGCCACTGGCTAATGACAAGAAGACTTTGGATGGTCTTGGGAAATTGTATGCGGACGCTTTCATAGGCTTCGGTGTGCATAAGTAAGTTTCCAAAATTTATTTTTTATAAAAACTATTATGAGCATGTCAATCATTTATTTGCATATATAACTAATAACCGAAATACATTAGCGTTTGAAGATAAATAACAAGATATAGTTTTTATTTGGCTTAAACATATGGGCATTATAAACGAAGTTCTTTAAGTGCATATTGCAAATGATGACTAACGAAATCGAATTACAGTACTGCATTATAATGCATAAAAAATGAATATAAGTTTTAAAAATAATAGTATACTATTATTTTTAAAACTTATATTCATTTTTTATTTAAAGTCTATATACATATGTAACGGAAAATTATGGAACTCGTGTTTTTGTCATTTCCGACAACTGTTTCGACTTCTTTCGGAAGTCTTCACAAGCTTTACAAACCTCGACCCAAAGCGCATGATGAGATACTGTGACGCAAACCATTGAATGCCCCCTGGAAGATTTCCGGATGAAATCGAAAATGAAATGAAATCCGGATGAAATTAATTACCGACAATTGTCGGAATCGACAAAAACAGAGTGAGTGCATTAGTTTCCCGTTACATATGTATATAAACAGTCTTACACTAGACGAATTCAAACACTCCAAATCATGTCATCATCGGCGAACTATGCAGAGAGTTACGCTTGGAGCTCCTCTGCGTGATAGAATGTGGAATGATGATAGATTTACCTAATGTTGCATACTCGTAATATTTTGCCTCGCTCTGCGTGTTCTATCGTTTATACAACGGATTGCGCTCAGAGGAATTATTCAATATGATGCCTGCGGCCACTTTCTATCATCGTACGGCTCGCCATCGGCAGGGAGTTCACCCTCATACCTTACAGCCTAAATGGTCGCGTACAACGTGGTTTCAGAGATGTTTTCTCCCACGAACAATCAGGTTATGGAATGAGCTCGCTGCCGAGATTTTCCCAAGAGACTACAGCATGGGGTTCTTCAAAAGGGGAGTAAAGAGGTTTCTTCAGGGTCGGCAACGCACGCGTAATACTTTTGGTATTGCAGGCGTTCATAGGCTACGGTAACCGCTTACCATCAGGTGGGCCGTATGCTTGTTTGCCACCTCAGTGGTATAAAAAAAAATTCGCTATGGGCGATACATATGTTTTCTTTTAACAGAATGGTGAATCTGATGTGCCGTTACTCGCCTTACAAGGTTTATTACTATCAATTGGCTTACATTGGCAACCATAGTTTCTATGAAGACCCCACAACCAAAAAACCTATAGGTATATTTACTTTCTACCATTTTCACCATCTGTTAATTATGATCGTCAATTATATAAATAGTGTTTCAATATAAATGCTTCGCCAAAAACAGATCAACTTTTTTAGTTATGTGTGAATGAATATACGTATATTCTACTTGTATTGTAACTATGTCTTTCTTCATGTCTAATAGGTTTTTTTTAATGGGTGATGATGGAATAATAACCCCGCCTGCGCTTTCGGTATACACCGGCGGGGTACCAGTGAGTGATGATAGGCGAGGATGGAAAGGCAGGTCAGTTAGCCCATCGTGATGAATACATTTGGAATTCAGCACGATGGTTTCCATGGGGGACCACGTGGAGGTCGACCTGACAGGGTATATTGCTAGCAATGGGATCCTTAGTCTCCATTATTAACAATCCCTCCCCCCTGTCTAATAGGTTACCACTTTCTTCCTAAAGGAGCTTATTACTATTTGGTGTAGTAGAAAAAAATCATTTATTTAACTCTTTATTACACCAGAGACATAGAAATATACAATGAGAATTGAACAATTCAAATAAAATACAGCAACATAAATTACAGATAAAAATATAAACATAGAGGTACATAAAATGGTCTTATCACTAGGACAATCTCTTACAGACAACCCTTGGTTAAAGGAGAACACAAAAGTGGATAGGTGGCGCAAGAGAGAATTTTTTAAATTAAGTAAAGTTTAGAAATTTATACCAATTCTTCCCAGGCGCTGCGCACCACGATGACCTGATCTACCTGTTCACATTGAGCTATCAATTCCCGACGATCAACGTCAGCGATAGCACTGACTCCCTCATAGTGGACAGAATGACCGCTATCTGGTACAACTTCGCGCGGTTTGGGTAAGTGCATATTTCATTTACATTTATTACCAAATAGCTACAATCCAAGCAAGTGAGAAACAAATGCATCGTGAAGTGGTGATCTCGTAAGACCAAAAACAGTTTAGGCAGATCACTAGCCAGATGGTCTGATGATATAATGACAGTAGCAGACGAGCCGGGCTAATTTAGGAAATGATATTTTCTAAATCTGCCCGACTCGACCCACTGAAACTGCGCAGAGATGTTGCATCTCTTTGCATCTTCAACCGAATTTATCATGGGGAGTGTTCTGAGGAATTGTTCGGATTGATACCTGCTGCTGATTTTTACCACCGTACAACCCGCCAAAAACTCAAGTTTCATCCCAATCATCTGGACGAGTGGCGGTCTTCCACCGTTCGTTTTTCAAGGCACTTTCTACCACGTACAACCACTCTTTGGAATCAACTTCCAGCCTACTGCCAGCAGCATAACTTCCAGAAGTTGATTTCCGAACCGATACGACAACATAACCTTCAAGAAAAGAATATATTCCTTTTTAAAAGGCCGGCAGCACACCTGTAATGCCGCTGGTGTTGTGGGTGATCATGGGCGGCGGTAGTCACTAACCATCAGGTGAGCCGCAGGCTCATTTGCCCCCTATGTTGTAAAAAAAAAATTGACTGGGGTACCCGAGTGACCACAAATATCCTTTGCCTGGTTTATCGTAGTTCGTCATTACACAAGGTTTCCTAGCTTAAGACCCAAGTTATTATGACAGTACAGCCCTTATAATCATTATAATTGTTTGGTACATACTCATAACTCTTTCAGCGACCCAAATCCCCGCGGCAACGAGCTGCCGGAGCTGTCGACCCTGCAGTGGCCGGCCATGACTCCGACGGCGCGCAAGTACCTCAAGTTCGACCGACAGTTCACAGTCGAGGAGAACATGTTCGAGGACAGGTTCAATGTATGGGAAGAACTGTATCCCATTGAAAAACATTAGGATATACTTTAGAGCTTCAGATCTCGATTCGATATAACTGAAAAATCTTCTTTCAAAAATATACTCGTATAGAAATCAGAGTATTATTGTATTGTATGTTGTCTCATTTATTTAAGAAAATTATTAATATAGCTTTTTTTTATATAAATAATTTACTTTTATAGAAAAATATTAATTACTCGATACAGTTTTACTTTTTTAAAAAAATATGCACATCGACAAGCGTAAGAAAGGATCGATATCGATTTTTGTATGACGATCTGAGTGTTCCAGATTCGAATATGAAATATGTGAAACATTGTCTATGCTTAACAATAAACAAATTATTATACAATAAATGATAAAATAACAGCATTTAAACCTCTTTTAATTTGTTTTACCGATCTATTAATCGTTTTACCTTACCTTATCCAATATTTTTTTACTATAGGGCTAAAATATAAACTATTTTAGATAATACATACATACATATCTGTCACGCCTGTCTCCCATTAGGGTAGGCAGAAACAATGGAACACCAAATGCTTCGATTCAAACAAACCTCTTTCGCTTCTTCCACATTCATCAATCTTTTCGTACACGCTCGCCGGTTACGGGTACTTTTAGTCTGGCCCTTCTTCAGCACGTCGCCTATTTGGTCAACATACGTCCGTCTAGGGCGGCCCCTACCGACACCTCCACATTATGTATGTATGTATGTATTTTAGATAACTGTAACACCATTTAGGCGATTTGATATTATAGTATTTAATTTTCCTTTTAATGATATATGTGTTTTTTTTAATTGATGATAATGAAATGATCACCCCGCCTGCGCTATCGGTATACGCTGGCGGGGCACCAGTGAGGGATGGGTCAGTCAGGTCAGTTAATCCATCGTTATGAATATATATAGAATCCAGCACGATGGTTTCCAGGGGGAACCACGTGGAGGTCGACCTGATATATATATATATATATATATATATATATACTGAGACTGAGAATCCTATTGCTAGCAATATACCCAACCAGGTCGACCTCCTCGCGGTTCTCCCTGGAAACTATCATGGTTGATTCATAAGTGTACATAAGTGTATTTTTTTTATACAACTTAGAATGGCAAACAAGCTGACGGTCCACCTGATGGAAAGTGGTAACCGTCGCCTATAGACATGAGCAGTACCATGGACATAACAGAGTATACTGTTTCGCCCATGATACCCCCCATGCGTTGCCATTCCTGAGGACTTGGTGTTATTCCTCTGTACCCAGTAAATTTTAGCTTTAATAATTGATGGAGAAGGACACGGTAATAAAATTACGATACTCCTAAATTCAATCCTCAAGATATTATAGTACGTATTGGGTGACACAGTATATACTGTGCTGTCAATAACTGCTGTTGATGCTATTAGGCGACGAATATTACTTCCTACCAGGTGGGCTTGTTTGTTATTGCAAATTTGCATAAAAAAAACTCCATAAAAAAATTAAAGAACAATTACACGTTTAACTGATTAATTTATTCACGCCTGTGGCTGTTTTTACGAGATAAGGTATAATTTTAAATTGTTTACCAAATTTCACTTATCTTTACAATATGAAGTCATTTATTATGTTCATTTAAATATAAAAAAAAACATGCAACAGAAAGTAAACCGTTCATGAAATTAGTTTTGGAATATCCATTAAATTCAAATTCAAATTCAAATTCAAAAATCATTTATTCATGTAGGACATTTTAGCCGCTTATGAACGTCAAATTTTTACATTATAATTTTATTTTTTTCCCTACCGTCCAGTTCGGTATATAGATCCAACTGAGAAGAACTGGCAAGAAACTCAATTGAATTACTTTTTTTTTAAAAGCCAGTTTATTAGATTAAAGCCAGTTAATTAGATAAATAGATAGATAGATAATTTATTTGCATTACTTACAACACATAAATAACAACAGACATAGTTAGAAATATACAAAAAAAGAGAGATAAAATATATGTACATACAAAAAAAAAATACATAAAAGAACTAACATAATTTTATAATAATGAAGTATCTACGCGAACTTAAGAGGGTTGGTGCAGAGGACTGGCAATATTGAATTCACATTAAAACAGTAATTGTATCCGGCGACTCCGCTTGAATTAGTATATGAAGTACCCTATGTTTTAAGTTAGGATATAATCTATTCGTGTACCAAATTTCGTTAAAATACGTTCAACAGATTTTGCGTGAAAGCTCAACAAACATGCATCCATATGAACACATTATTTATGATGCATAGAATGGCCAACAAGTTTGGCCACAATGGTCCACCTGATGGAAAGTGGTAACCATCGCCTATAGGGGATAGAATAGAAAGGGATTGTTAGTAATAGGGAGGTTAATCCCAATTTATGATACGGGTTCTTCGGATACCCAGTTCAGGCACCAGTTCTCTACAACTTTGATGTATCTATGGTATTATTTTAAGGGTTTCATTGTATTAGAAATAGTTGTGAGATAAAATAAATAAACTTTATAAGTGCTATCAATACATCCTATCAGGTCGACCTCCATACGGTTCCCCCTAGAAACTATCGTGACTATCGTTGAATTCATTACGATGGGCTAACTGACTTGCCTTTTCATCTTCACCTATCACCTCTTTACTGGTGCCTCGCCAATGTATACCGAAAGCGCAGGTGGGGTCACCATGCCATTATCACCCATTAAAAAAAACCGACGCCTACAAACATGAGCAAACTTTCGAGAGTCTATCTTTTATTCGAAGTTGCGCCGGAATTTTTTATGAGGTTTTCGATGCTTCACGATAGAAACACGAATTGGACAGACATTACAAGCAAACGACTGTTGTACAAAATCTCCCTCTGGTTATTATTTTTATTCTGATTGTGTATCTAGTGTTTTTATATACCAATGTCTTACTGTAATAAACAATAGGTTTTTTTTTATGGGTGAAAATGGTATGGTAACCCCGGCCGCGCTAACGGGATACACTGGCGGAGCACCAGTGAAGGGTGACAGATGAGAATGAAAACAGGCAAGTTAGCCCATCATGATGAATTCATCAGGAATTAACCATGATAGTTTCCAGGGAGAACCGCGAGGAGGTCGACCTGGTTGGGTATATTGCTAGCAATAGGATTCTCAGTCTCAGTATATATATATATATATATATATATATATATATATATATATATATATATATATATATATATATAGAAAAAGAAAAAAATGTGGATGAGTCATAAGGTGTCATCTTACCATGACACCTTGTTTTTGTGTTTGCTCGCATCCAATGTAATATTAGTTACCTATGAAAAATATCTAATAAAAACCATAACGTAATTCCAATTTTCCTCATAAGTGCATCTATTACGAACAATAGAAAATCCAATGCGTCACCAGTCGCTTCGTTTAATTCATGTAATTGATACATATACCTAACTATTGTTTATTTGAGGGGGGAAAGGGATTGTTAGTAATGGAGACTGAGAATCCCATTGCTAGCAATATACCGGCCAGTTAGCCCGTCATGATGAATTCATCTGAATAATGGGCTAACTGGCCTGTTTTCATTCTCATCTATCACCCTTCACTGGTGCTCCGCCAGCGTATCCCGTTAGCGCGGGCGGGGTTACCATACCATTTTCACCCATAAAAAAAAAACCTATTGTTTATTACAGTAAGACATTGGTATATAAAAACACTAGATACACAATCAGAATAAAAATAATAACCTTCAGATTTTGTACAACACTTGTAATGTCTATCAATTCGTGTTTTAAAAACGAAAACCTCTTCGGCGCAACTTCGAATAAAAGAGCTTGAAATAAAAATTTATAAATATATCTATTAATAAAGAGGTAAAAGATGAAAAAATAATTTTCCAAAAAAAATAGTTTCGATAGTTTTTATTTTTTTGATCGGATGTATTGACACTAATAATGTTTATTTATTTTATCTCAGACTATTTCTAATACAACGAACATTAAAATATTACGATCAATTTGAGAATCTCCTTCTTTATGAACTCACTAGAAAATACAGCGCATTTAATTTTTTAACTCATTTCTAACCACGTTTTTAAACAAAAATCATACTTAACCTATATCGGTATTGGAGCAGCACATAGATGTTGTATATATCTATACATAGGAAACATTATATACGGATTCACGCGGGCGGAGTCGCGGAATACAATTATTGTTTTAATAATAATTAAATATTGCCACTCCTCTCCACAAACCTTCTTAAGTTCGCGTAGATACTTCATTATTATAAAATTATGTTACTTCTTTTATGTAAGTTTCTTCTTTTTTGTATGTATATATATATATTTTATCTCTCTTTTTTTGTATATTTCTAACTATGTCTGTTGTTATTTATGTGTTGTAAGTAATGCAAATAAATTATCTATCTATCTATTTATCTAATTAATGGATATTCCAAAACTAATTTCATGAACGGTTTACTTTCTGTTGCACGATTTTTTTTTATATTTAAATGAACATAATAAATGACTTCATATTGTAAAGATAAGTGAAATTTGGTAAACAATTTAAAATTATACCTTATCTCGTAAAAACAGTCACAGGCGTGAATAAATTAATCAGTTAAACGTGTAATTGTTCTTTCATTTTTTTTATGGAGTTTTTTTATGCAAATTTGCAATAACAAACAAGCCCACCTGGTAGGAAGTAATATTCGTCGCCTAATAGCATCAACAGCAGTTATTGACAACACAGTATATACTGTGTCACCCAATACGTACTATAATATCTTGAGGATTGAATTTAGGAGTACCGTAATTTTATAACAATGTCCTTCTCCATCAATTATTAAAGCTAAAATTTACTGGGTACAGAGGAATAACACCTAAGTCCTCAGGAATGGCAACGCATGGGGGGTATCATGGGCGAAACAGTATACTCTGTTATGTCCATGGTACTGCTCATGTCTATAGGTGACGGTTACCACTTTCCATTAGGTGGGCCGTCAGCTTGTTTGCAATTCTAAGTTGCATAAAAAAAAAATTAAAATTGGCTGTCTAAAAAGTTTAAAATACTAATTTTTGTCTGCGACTTCGTCCGCATTGACCGGTATATGTTCATTGATCGAGATAAAAAATAGCCTATGTCCTTGTTTATCTCATACACTTATATACGTACGTGTATACAAAACTTCATAGCGATCGGTTCAGTCGTTAAGACGGTAAGAGGTAGCAAACAAACTGATTTCCTTATTTATTATATTAGTAAGGATTATCCACACCGCTACATGCCTAAACATATGTACTTAAGTGTATTACGAGGTAATACATATATAAGCAATATAAGTCACCGCTCCGCCTCAGTAGCACGCGGTCACTCGAGGAAAATGTTGTTCAAAACATTACTAATCTTTTTTGTTGTCGGTCAAACGTTAGCGTGCCAGAGGAAAGTCGAAAATGCAGACACATCAACAGGTTTGTAAATAATGACAGTTAAAAATTGTGTCCCACAAAAAACCCAATATATATACATAAAATAGAAGTAATTTAAAAAAAAAACAGTTATTCGGACTTTAAAACTAAACTACCGAATTGTTTTTAATAATGTCTCCATTGGACTTATCTGTAAGTATATCCTTTCAGATTAAAAAAAAATATATATCTGAATCGATTTAGAACCGACGGAGTTATGAAGTAGCTAATATAAAAAAAATATAACCAAATTTGCAAACCTCTTTCTTTTTTAAATCAAATTGGTCACTCAGAAATTCAATCAAAATTAATTTATTAATTTAATTTTTAAATCAATGTAACAATTGATTTTTTTGTCGTGGAATACAATCTCAAATTATATATATATATATATATATATATATATATATATATATATAAATGCACTAAAACATACAGTAACAACAATAAATTAATAACAATGTTAGCAAAGGCGAACTTATCTATAAAAGAGATCTCTTCCAGATAGATAAATAATTTATTTGAGTCATTTATGGCACACCTAAATTAACAATTAAATTCATACAAATCAAAATTAATTTTTTTATTAAAATATAAGATTACGAAAATATGTTTTCGCCCTGTGTTTTAAATCAATGTAACAATTGATTTTTTTGTCGACCAATTTAACACAAAAAAAAATTGTATTGTATTATATATAAATAATATAATATATATGTAAGAGGTGACTAAAGGAGCTTATGGTGGAGAGTTGGGTAGCAGCGTCCCTCTTAAAATATTTATAAAAACTAACTGCGGTTGCCAACCCGCCTGCCAAACGTGGCAACTACTGGTATATATATATATATATATATATATATATATATATATATATATATATATATATATAAATGGTATACAAACGAATTAATTAAATAAACATACCTACATTGTAAATAATTCACCACAATAATTATATCTTATCACTTTAAGTTCTCACACTAAATAGTTATTACTTATTTATCAACAGGATCGCTACAAAATGACGAATCGACCGGACCAAGGAGACAATCAACAGAGGAAGGTCCCCTGACTGTGACCCCGGCGGGCCCCATTCGAGGGTCCTGGATGGAGACGCGCCGTGGACGTCCGTTCCAAGCTTACCGCGGCATCAGATACGCTGAACCACCTGTGGGGGAGTTGAGATTTAAGGTGCTTATTTATTTGTAAAGCCTAATTGAAGATACTGGGGGGAAAGGGATTGTTAGTAATGGGGTCTAACTGACCTATTGCTTGTAATACACCTTATCAGGTTGGCCTCCATGCGGTTCCCTCTAGAAACCATCGTTGTTGATTCTAGTGACATTCGTCACGATGGGCTAAATGACCTGCTCTCATCGTTACCTATTATCCCTCACTGGTGCTCCATCAGCGTATACTGATAATGCAGGCGGGGTTACTATCCCATTATCACCCATTAAAATAAATGGAAGATACCAAGTTAATTTTAAATTCTATTTTATATCGCTATTTCTGACATAATCGCGTATCTTGAAACAAATCATGCTCACTCTAATACCCAGACTGGAGGTGGCGTGGTGGGCCGGGTCATTGGGCTCCCAATAATATGGTTAAACCCAACGATGGCTGACTCATCCGTCATACTCGTGAACGGGCGCTTTCTATAGAAACTGTCTGTTCAAGACTCCTGCGATTGAATGTAGTTTTTAATCAATAAGAAATGTATATCCAACCCTTAAATTTAATAATGATGATGAAATATGACTAGCAACATTGACAATTCTCCTCCGCAGCCCCCAGTACCCATTCTTCATTACAAAAAAGAGGTGGACGCAAGCAAGGAAGGTCCAGCGTGTCCTCTACCAGTACCACCCACCTACTACATCGACGAGGACTGTCTCACTATCAACGTCTACACACCGAATAATAACAGGTATTTTAATAATTCATTTGGAGAGGATGGATGAAAGAAGAATTACGAAAGAGATTTATGGAGCAAGAATGAATGGAGATGTCGGTAGGGGCCGCCCTAGACGGACGTATGTCGACCAAATAGGCAACGTGCTGAAGAAGGGCCAAATTAAAAGTATCCGTAACCGGCGAGCGTGTATGAAAAGATCGATGAATGTGAAGGAAGCGAAAGATGTTTGTTTGAATCGAAGCATTTGGCGTTCCATTGTTTCTGCCTACCCTAATGGGAGACAGGCGTGACAGATATGTATGTATGTATTTTAATAATAAATAATGAAAATAATTTATGATTGATGGAATAAAGACATATATTTTCTATTGCACTCTAAGTGAATACGTATTCGTAAGAATCTCATTGTGCGTTATAAGTTACAGAATGTGATATTTATGCAGATAAAGTTAATGAATAATTAATGATATGATAATGGGTACCTCTGTCCCTCTGTAACAATGTTTTTTTTTTATATTATTTTAAGGGCTTTTACCTTCTTCAGGTATATCAGTCCTATTGTACCCTGAACTGATTTCTCAAACAAAACATTATCTATTTTCCGTAGACGCGGAAAGAGAAGAATTAATTGGCATCAATAATTTACAGAGATGTTAAAAAATTTCTGGTTTAAGTTCAGCTAACATAGATTGAATAAGACCAACATTAAATTTATTCAAGTTAAAGTGGCGCATGAATTCTTGTCTTTCCTTCGTGTTAATACAACACTAATAGAATATGATGCACATAAAGACCTAATTGCAAATTAAATATTTAAATTAGAATAATGGAATGATATCCCCGCTAGCTGGCCGCAGGCTTCATCCTCACTTCTCATAATTTCCTAGTACTCCGCCAGCGTAAATCGAATTAAAAAAAAAAGTCAAATCTTAAGTCAATCATGACTAATTCATTAATAATCATCGACGATGGTCCCCAGAAATGAAATAAAATTTATTAAATGAAGTGAAATGAAATTTATTTGCTACAAACATTGTAGAGGCCGGAATAACAAAAAACATAACTGACAGCTCCTTCTCTCTGGAACAAGTTTGGCAGAAATGAAAGTGTTTAACAATAGCGCAGGTTCTGTCTGATACCGGGTCCATGTTAGACTATGTATTGAGTCCAAACTTGCAATGGGAACTAATGTCCCCATTAATAAATTTTTTTATAAGTAGGTAATTGAAAAAAGAAAATTAATTTCATTTCGTACAAGATTACATTACTGTCGTACGTGACCCAAGTCTAACCTCGATTAAAAATTATTGAATACACGCAAGTACCGTGTAATTTAAAATAATAGAAATCAGCTACGGGAGCTTGAATTTATATTTAAAACAAACTGTATAAATAATTAAGTACTTCTTTTTTTTATACAACTTAGAATGGCAAACAAGCTGACGGCCCACCTGATGGAAAGTGGTAACCGTCGCCTATAGACATGAGCAGTACCATGGACATAACAGAGTATACTGTTTCGCTCATGATACCCCCCATGCGTTGCCATTCCTGAGGACTCGGGTGTTATTCCTCTGTACCCAGTAAATTCACGCCATATCCCACCCTTCAAACCGAAACACAGCCATGCAAACACAGCTGCTTCACGGTTGAAACACGAATAGGACAGAGGTACCCAAGCAATCGACTTTTGTACAAAGTCTCCCTCTGGTCTGGTTCTTCTATCTCTTGACTATTATCCTAGTTTATTTGAGGTCTGCTGCTCTCCTAGTAGTCCTGCGTCACACCGTACGGTTATGGGTTGCCTGTTCGCTCGCGTTTGAACATTACATGTCGTTCTTTATTGTTTGCAACCATGTCATTGGTGGTCGGTCATGGTACGTCTTTCCTTCTTTTATTTCTCTCTTTTAGTCACATGGTCATCATCCCGTCTCATCATATGTATACATAATTAGGTTTTATTTTTTTCTAATTATTTCGTTTACAGCACAGTTATTAAAAGTTATAAAGTACTAGGAGAACAGAACCATGGAAAAGATCTTACAACTCTCCACTCGTACATACTAAACTATCATTATGGGTCTTCTTACAGTACCAAACCCCTGCCTGTGATATTCTTCATTCACGCAGGCGGGTTCTACTCCATGACTGGTCGCAGCGACCTCGCCGGTCCCCATTACCTCCTGGACAGAGACATCGTACTGGTCACCATCAACTACCGACTCGGATCGCTTGGTAAATAAAAATTTATCATCATTATCTTTCCACTACTGGATGAGGATAAACCTCTCTTTTTTTATATTATTTTTTTACAACACAGGGGGCAAACGAGCATGCGGCTCACCTGATGGTAAGTGACTACCGCCGCCCATGATCACCCACAACACCAGCGGCATTGCAGGTGTGCTACCGGCCTTTTAAAAAGGAATATGCTCTTTTCGTGAAGGTTATGTTGTCGTATCGGTTCGGAAATACTGCTGCTGGAAGTTGATTCCAAAGAGTATTTGTGCGTGGAATAAAAAGCCTTGAAAAACGCACGGTGGAAGACAGCCACTCGTCCAGATGGTTGGGATGAAACTCTCTTAAGATACCTAGTCCCCTGAGTTTGGTAACAGGTTAAAATAAAAATATATATATATATATATATATATATTGTATTAGTAAGGATTCTATTTATTTTTCTTCACCAGGATTCCTCAGCACCGGCGACGCGCTGGCTCCCGGCAATAATGGCTACAAAGACCAGGTTGTAGCTCTACGTTGGGTCCAGAAGAACATCCGGGCATTCGGTGGGGACCCGGGGCTGGTCACCATCGCTGGTTGCAGCGCTGGCTCCTTCAGTGTTATGCTGCATATGCTCTCACCGATGACAAAAGGTATTTTAACCCACCCTTGAACGTACATCTTGCTTAAAAACGATCGGATGACAAAGCAATATTATTATGACATAGAGCTGATTTGATGATGGAGCTGGAAGGTGGCCACAGGAACTTCGTAATTAAACGACGTAACCCATCAAGTTTGGGCTCATTTGATTCGTATTGACGAGTACTTTGATACTAGATGGTAACCAGGGTCTGATGATGGAGCTGGAAGGTGCTATTTTTATCTTTTTAGTTCATTCTATTAACAAATAATAAAAGTTTGTTTTTAAAAGAAGTTTTTTGATTCTTTAATTATTACTTTAATTATTACTTATACTATCTTTTTTTTATACCACTGAGGTGGCAAGCATACGGTCCACCTGATGGTAAGTGGTTACCGTAGCCTATGAACACCTGCAATACCAGAGGTATTACGCGTTCGTTGCCGATCCTGAAGAAACCTCTTTACCCCCCTTTTGAAGAACCCCATGCTGTAGGCTCTTGGGAAAACCTCGGCAGGGAGCTCATTTCATAAACTGAGTGTTCGTGGGAAGAAACATCTCTTAAACCGCGCAGTACGTGGCCATTAAGGCTGTAGGACATGAGGATGAACTCCCTGTCGATAGCGAGCCGTACGATGGTAGAAAGTGGCTGTGGGCAACAATTCCTCTGGTCACAATCCGTTGTACAAGCGGTAGAACACGCAGAGTGAGATAAAATCTCTCCTAAGACATAAGGATTCGATACCACTTGTGAGCCTGGGATCATCGACAATTCTCATAGCTCGTCGTTGCAACGAGTCGAAAGGTTCAAACTGGTATTTAGGTGCTCCCGCCCATAAGTGACAGCAGTACTCCATGTGGTGATTTGCGATATTAATAATCTAATAATATATCAACATTTACAGGCTTATTCCACCGCGCCATATCCATCAGTGGTTCTCCAATCAACCAGTTACCTGACCGACATGACCTATACTCCTTGGCAGTGAAGCAGGCCGAGCTGGTGGGATGTCCAACGAGTAACTCCAAAGCGATCATCGACTGTCTGAAAACGAAACCATTCAGAGAAATAGGGGATTCGCTTGTTGGATTCTTTGTAAGCGTTCGTTTTTAAACGGTTTTATATTTTATATACAAAGTCAAAACAAACCTTATTTAATTAGACTTACTCAAAAACTCTACTGTATTTTTGGAAAGTTTTTTGTTGCGAAGAACTATAAGAAACACGTTCATTTTTATAATATGTATGGCCCCAAATGGTAAAAATAGATAGAATGAACGCTCTATATAAGCAACCTCTCTATGAGCAACATTCTTTATATTTTATTCATTCCACTCAGCTTAGTTAGTAAAAGAAATAAGTGAAAATATTTTCCACACGATAAGTATTTTTATACTCCTTTTTCCCCTATAAGCAATTTTTCTCAAAAAGATTTTTTTTTTATTGAAATTGGTTCAAATGAGTTACTTATATAGAGCGTTCACTGTATTTGGAATAAAATGATGCTTAATTCCATGATAATTAATTGTAGTATTAAACCGCCAAGAGGTGGTAGCCGTGTGCTACCGGCATAGAGTAGGCCACCCCTTCCTTTCCCATGGATGTCATAAGAGGCCACTAAGGGAGGGCGAGGGATGGGCAGCAGCGTTCCTTTTAAAACATCTTCAAAGCATAACTGCGGTTGCCAACCCGCCAACCCAACGTGGCAAATACTGGCAAAACTCCCCCTTCTGGGGAAGGCTTATGTTCAGCAGTGGACAGTTAACGGTAGATATAAATAAGAAACACGGAATAAATACAATATCATGCTCGTTTACGATTCCCGATTGTATAAAAATTTACCTTTTTTTTTTTATACAACTTAGAATGGCAAACAAGCTGACGGCCCACCTGATGGAGAGTGGTAAGCGTCGCCTATAGACATGAGCAGTACCATGAACATAACAGAGTATACTGTTTCGCCCATGATATGCCTATTTCCTTTCAGAACCAATTTTACGACCCAACCCTGCTATGGTCGCCAGTAGTGGAGCGGGACTTCGGTCAGGAGCGGTACCTCACCATGAGGCCCATCGACGCCGTCCGACAGGGCAAGATGCATGCTGTCCCTTACATTATAAGTCAAACCCATGACGAGTTCTTCTGGAAAGCCTTTCGTAAGTTATATTCTTGAAAGAAACTTGCCTGGTTGGTAAACAAGTTTTTAATTATCACTGAGACCTATGGACGTCTGCAATACCAGCGTTGCCAATGCTGAAGAAATCTTTTTACCCTTTTTTTAGAACCACCTGATGGAAAGTGGTAACCGTCGGGCTATAGACATGAGCAGTACCATGGACATATTGGAGTATACTGTTTTGCCCATGATACCCCCCCATGCGTTGCCATTCCTGAGGACTCGGATGTTATTCCTCTGTACCCTGTAAATTCACTCTGTCCCATATCGTGAAGCAGTTGTGTTTGCACAACCGGTTTGAAGGATTCGTGAATTTACTGGGTACAGAGGAATAACACAGCCATGCAAACACAACTATTATGTCATGGGTAAAAACTTTCCATCAGGTGAATGCTTGTTTGCCATTCTAAGTAGTATAAAAAAAAAAAAAAACCCTGTAAATTCACGCCATATCCCACCCTTCAAACCGGAACACAGCCATGCAAACACAACTGTTTCACGGTAAAAACACGAATGGGACAGAGGTACCCAAGCAATCGACTTTTGTACAAAGTCTCCCTCTTATACAAAAATTATGTCTTTATATATTATTAGTATATTATATACAAAA